TCTCGTTTTAACTTGTTTTACTGGGGTTGTTGGTATATATGGTATAAATGGTATATATGGTATATATGGTATATATGGTATATATGGTATATATGGTATATATGGTATATATGGTATATAATGTTGTATTATATTAGTATTCTAGGTGAGCTTGTTGAGGGTTTTGGGGGGGGTTTGTGATTGGGTTTGTGATGGGTTTGTGATTGGGTTTGTGATTGGGTTTGTGATTGGGTTTGTGATTGGGTTTGTGATTGGGTTTGTGATTGGGTTTTGTGATTGGGTTTGTGATTGGGTTTGTGATTGTGATTTGGGGGAGGGGGTTGAGATTTGAGATTTGAGATTTGGGGGAGGAGTTCAGATTTGGGCGGGGAGTATGATGTGGAGATGGAGGGGTGGGTTTTGTTGTGTGGCTTTGGGAATGGCTTTGGGGATGGGGATGGGGATGGGGATGGGAATGGGAAATAGTGTGATTGGTAGGGTGGTTAGTTTGGTTAGATAGGATACAGATTGTGGATGGGATATTCGGTTGTGGTAGGGTGGTTGGAGTTTGCTTGCTTGATGCGATTTAGGTTTGATTAGGTGACTTGGGAAGGCTGGGCTGGGCGGGGAGGGGGGAGTGAAAATTGGAGAGGAGGTTGGATATTATATATTATATGGAGGGAATGATGGGTGGGAAAGATTGGGGGGGGGGGAGGTGTGTGAATTCGGGAGGGAAGAGGAGGAGAAGGGGGGAGGATGGAGGATGGATGGATGGAGATGTGTGTTTATAGTAAGTAGGTAGGTAGATATATTTGTATGTTTTTTATTTATAAATCCTGTGTTTGGTTTGCGAAATATGGGGGAAGTTGTAGGATGGGAGTAGATGGGAGATGGGATAGGGATATGGGCTATGGGGGGATTATGGGATTATAGGCTACGGATATAAGTATGACTGTATTATTGTATATAATTCATCGTACATCACAAGACGTATGGATATTGCGTGATTATTTGAGGGGGTCTGGTTATATACTCATTATAGGATAGTAACGAGCCATTGCAAAGTAGATGGTAGTGTAAATTGGTATAACTGACGTTGAATAATATGCACTACCAAACAGAGAAGAAAGAAGAAAAAATCATTTTTACACAGCTGTGAAATATTTCGAGATGTTTGAATAAGCGTTGTCTATCAAATACTCACAATGATAAATAACACTTAACAAAGCACAATAGATTCAAAGTCCTCGGAAGTCGGATAGGGTATGATGATTAGACCGTTCAATTCTCATTACATATATTAATCAGATATTATATTTACAAACTTCCCCATGTGCTCTCTCCTCTTCAATCAAAATTTAAAAATTATATACTAGAATTTTCACAAGCCACACTCGATGATTCTCTACATGTAACTAGCATCGTAGTAAAACTCGCTAGTGTAGGATGTACCCAAGACGGTGGTGATGTCGATGGGCGCTGTCAATTGGGAGCTGAAGTTTGCGCGGGGGCCTTCTTCGAGAACGCTTCCGGGTCCGAAGTTGTTGTATCTGTGGGGATGGTTAGTTGAGGGTGCAGGATTTGATATTTGGGTTTGGATAGGATCACTCACTCTCCCAAAGTAACTCCATCGGTGTTTGGAGTCGAGGTGCTCCACTGTTGCCATCCGGCCGCTTTGATGTTATCACCCAAGAAACTGTTCTGGAAAACAACACGTGCGTGATCTCTCCATGGTCGTCCGAGGTAGTTGTTGTATGGAGTGAGATTGTTGTTGAGATTGGCAATGTTGGAGTTGTTGATCACATACCAGGAATCAACAGCGTCGCTGGTGCGACCGGAGGCGGTAATGGCTCCATTGGCAATGGTGCGGATATCGTTCTTTTCAAACCAGGCGAGAGCTTTCTCGCCAAAGATGAAATCGATGGCTCCGACGATCAAGCACTTGGCGTAGAGCTGGTAACCGGCCTCGGCGAGAACGGTGTCTTGGTACCCCCAGAATTGGGTTGCGTAGTAACCGACGTTGGAGGCGTAGGAGGAGAGAGCAAGATTCTGTCCATTGGAGTTAATGTGACCGAATGTGTTCTTGATGACCATGTTGTACACCTTGGTGTTGGTGTTGTGGGCACGGAACGTGGCGGTTAAATCATCTGAGGTGGTGTTGATGAGGGCGAGGTTGTAGGTGAGCGTTGCTTCATTGTAGTAGTACTCGCGGGCATCGTTGGTATAACCTTGGATGGTAAGGTTGGATGCGATTTGTGGGAGATACACTTGCTCGAAGTAGATACCAGGAGCTACGAAAATGTATTGAGCTTCGGTTGTGGTGGCGGATAGTGCATTAACACCCGCTTGGAATGTGGTGTAGGAGCCGGCAATTGTACCAGTTTGGTCAATGACAATTGCACCGGCTGGAGCAACAGTTCGGTTGAATGCAACAGCGCGGTTTACTAAAGCAGGGCTGGCAGAGACGCTTCCGAGCAAAGAAGCTGCAAAGGAGAGGAGGGCAAAGGAACGCATGATTGGAAAGTTCTTTGAGGGAGGCCTGACTTCAATATGCGTTGATTCAAGGTTGGAGAATGGCGACTGAAGTGATTAGCCTTCTCAGGGCGTCAATGTATTTATATTTTTACAAAGAGACCAAAATCGCCATCTGCGCCAAGAGGAATTGAATGACATTTGCCCCGGAAAAACACCCCTGCATCTCGCAAGATGATTGGTGCATGAAAGTCGGATAACCCCCCCTCTCAACGGAAAAATCTCCACTATGTTTATAGTAGCGCAATGGACGCCGTTGATAACCTGCGGAATAGATTGATTAAAATGAGCAGCCAAGCAGTGACCAGCCCGAACCGACTGCGCCTCCGAGATTAGAGGATGAAATTGAAAGCCCATACCTCTCTCCAGGCACTCTCGTCGGAAATATTCCTCTGCATTGCATGTCGAAATAATTGCCATGGCGGGGAGAAAATTGTACAACAAGTGATGGATGATAAAATTCCGATATTTTTCCGGTCCAACGCTCAGTAGTGTGAAGATTTGTATAGGTTACCAGTTTGTCGGTACTTGCCCAAGTGCTTACATTGACCCTACTAAGGGTCGTATGCTCGTCGTCGCTATTGCTATGAGCGCCGCGCAAGCTTTTGCCACAAAGAGCAAACGATTAGAAATTTCAGGAAAGTAAGGACATGCTAAATTTCCGAAAACGCGGCGGATATCTAGATGCTCAATCGGCCCACTGTCTAAGGGTTAAAGGCTTGTACATTTCCCTACATATACCTTTCGATTCCCGAGACGTTTCAAATTACCTGCTCGTCGTCGATACTGGAATGTAAGTCAGCCTACAATTGCAAATTGTTATTGAGGTTCAGAAACAAACAAAGAGTCCAAAGTCAACGGAGCTTTCGGGTTGCACGGGCATTTCCACAGTAGCCGACATCCAGAAAGGTGGGCATGATCCATATATTTGAGTTGATCGCTAATCTCTTCATAAGCTATTTCATGTATGCTTCTCGTTCTGTCAAAAAAATAGATTGAAAAGCTTCGACGAAAAGCAGGTACATGATCAAAATGATCCTATTGTCATGCAGGTGGTGGCGTTTTGGGATAGATCCTAGCCAGGGGTATTTTGACGGTAGGTTCAACTGTAAACTCAACGTAAAAGTATCGTTGCTTGGTCTTTCATAGAGTGAAGATATAGTTTGTGCCAATCAGCTGGAAATCTTAATATGCTTTCTTGGTATGCGAGGTACGAGGTTGATGAGATGTGATTATATGATCATCCATCCAAATACAATACCTTGCTGGGCCAATCCTACAAAACAGGAACAAAACGTGTGTAGGTAGTTGAAGTAGCTCTCCTCTGCTACTTGTTCAAACTCGGTAGATAAAGGGGAAGACGAAGGAAATGCAAGGCGGTTACCACGGGTATATGAGCCGGGTATAGTATTTTACCTATGTAAATTATATTATCGGATGATTGCATTCGGTCAAATATCAGATATTAAAGATCAGTTTCATAGGAAAGTGTTCTCGGATGTTCCCGTGCCCCACCGGAAAAAGTACGGCGGTGAGATGATAAGCTCAAACGTCTTCTTATTATAGACGCACCTTGTACGCAGATTGCGAATACGCAGAGGTTCTAAATCCACACCTCGTGGAATGCTAATTAGGATTACTTATTCTCCAAGACATTCAATATATACCGAGATTGTCTCCTCTGATTGCAAACATCTCAACATCTCATTTCAAGGTCTATCACTTGGATATAACATGCTGAAGAACCAGATACATACAGCTATGCATCTTCCAGATATTATGCACTATTTGCTCTGTTCGTTGAAGTCTTCCAAAGAAACTTGAGTTCTATGGCACTGCAATACGTGTACCTCTCAAAGAAACCCGTCTTTTTCTCTAATTGGAGGAAAGGGAGTGAATTGGTCCTTCAGTTGGTTTAGAATCCTCTTGCACATTGTTTATTGGAAATGTCGATCTTGAAAGTTGTGACCCAGTAGCATTTAGCCTTCTTGGAATTTTATGCGCAATGACAACTTCTTCTTGGCGTTGCGGGGTCTACCTAGAATCAGATCACATAGTATGTGAGAAAGTGGTGAAATGGAAGCTCTCTCCCTTCTAGTGGCATCCTAGAAAAGCTATTTTAGTTACCATTCGGCTCATGCTCCTCGTGTTTGGCGGCTTCTAGATTCTTCTTTTGGATCATCACGAGGAGTGTGTTGGGTATTTACTAGGTATCAGCGTTCACGCCATCAATGCAAAATCGGGAGACAGGTGAACAAGAACTCTCATTCGTTACCTATATGATGGCTGTGCCAGTTACTTTTTTCAAGGGTCTAGGAATCAATAAAGCAGATCAGTGGTCCCACCCCCCTTTCAATTAAGCTTTGCTTTATAATATCTCAACGGAGGCTTGGAGCATACTCTTCCTCGCCATGAAGAAAGCACACTATGTTTCTTTTCCGGACTGAGATTTTACACCTTTGTGCGGAAATCTTAATCTCTTCGGTTTCTCACAAAGGCGGTAACTGATAATCCGAAGACTGCTGAGGTCGATACCGGTCGTCGAGATCAGATTTCATGAAGATTTTTGCAGCGGGCCCAAAACCAAACTCAAATTGACCAGTTGGGGCCAAAGATTCCCGGCGGATGAAAGCCCGCAAACAATTCGCACACCAAGTACCTACACAGTTGAGCCTGAAGTACAACAGGGGAAGGTAACTGCCACAACCTCCGCATAACGAAGGATTCTCCCTCGGAGCTTGCAAGAAGTCGATGGAGGAACCAAGGTCGGAAACCATCATTGGAGTAGTCACCTTCCCTTCACCTGACAAACGTGGTCTGATCTGCTGCAAAGCTGTGGAATTATTGGTGCGAAGATAATGCTCTAGGAGCTTGCCGTCGTTCATGTCGATGAATTCTGATGAGGTCATCCAGGCACGTGGAGGGTTTCGATTTTGGAATACTGGTTCCTTGTCGTGGCCAGAATCTTCCTTTTCAGGCATCTTGGGTTTGTTGTTGGTTGAGTTGCTGATGGAATCATTGATAGGTGCCACACTCTTGGAATTTCGGCGCAGGAAAAAAGCTTTATATGTAAGATCGATGAACAGATCTGAGTAGTCAGTTTGTGATATAATAAATGAGGTGAGAATTTCATTTACCTTGACCTAAACAAAGGGCAGACAAGTGGATAGTGATCTTTAGTTCTGTTCCTGTCGTTCCTATTAATGTCGCCGCTCAAGATATTTTAGATTTAGATCTCGTTGAAGTCGCAGTAAGTGAGCAAGAACTCGACCATCGACGTTGTCTGGGAATTGAACTGTAGCCAAGTAAACAACGAGGAGATAGGCAATTGTGATGGAGACAATGTCCTTCACAAGAGCCACGAAAGTGATATAAAGCCGTAAAAGTTGATGGGCAAGTCGAGAATCTCTTCGGATATCTAGAGTCCTATTGAGGATCTGTTATTTCTTGTTATATGTTTCGAACCCACAATTTACAAATAAGAGAAGTCAATGCCTGGATTTAAAAACAAGAAGCTCAAAGGTCAGGTTTTCATGTTGTGAAAGTGAAGAGGGTTGCACATCTTTCACGATTGCAATCGGTTTGCATTGTCAGATAGTAAATATGTTTATGCCCTCGGCCATAGCTTCAGATTAAACTGAGCTATATATCATGTCAATGTGGTACTCGCAACGTCAATTTGCACTCGAATGCTAATTCCCCTGCATCCAGAATAAAATGCGTCCTCTTTCTGTAGCTCTTCTATCCGACCTTCAGAACCCCCATCTCTCCATGCTCCTCGATCAATGCAAGCTACAACTCAACCCACCAGCCGTAAGCACCGTTAGTCACATCAGTCGCGTTTGCTGTACGGCTTGAATCCGCATCTGCATCATCCAATCTTTCTCGTGCTCTTGCAACCTGCTCACTAATATTTCCCGCAGGTCCCACCCTATTCAATGTTCTTCTAAACTCATCAAACGCGTTCGCACCACCCATTGTGCTCGACGCTCTTGGTGTTGAATCAGCAACATTCGCAACTGCACCTCCAAGCAATCTACTCAATCTTCCCTGAGCTCCCGCAACCACAGCTGGAACGTTGTTTCTTTGATATTCTATAATATTTCCATCCCGGTCGACGATTCTGTTAATGGGACCTCGGCAGAAGGGACAGTTTACTGGTCGGGCATTGGGTCTTTGTCGTTGGGTTTGGATCCAGGTCTGGATACATACAAGACAGAATTCGTGGTTGCATGGGTGCACAAGGACGGCATTGGGAGGAGGGGGAAGGGAGAGAGACAGATGGAACATTCGTTTTGTGCCGACGGTGGTTGATGCCTCGGGATCTTGTGGTGAGTTGACGTCGGGAGTTGTTTGTGTTTGCTCACTGTTGTGAGTAGAAACGGGAGTGGATTCCCGAAATTGAGAGTTGTGGCTCTCACACGCGGGCGATAGATTTCTCTTCTCTGATTGTAGACTCGACCGGTATCCGGCGCATCTCTGGCTGTTACAAGCGGGAAAGGCCTAGATCTTCTTGGAACATAGACTGAGCTGGGATCTGAGGTATTGGGATGGTTTCTGGCTGCTACAGCCGGCAAAGGATCATATAGTGTCGGAGTATAATCTCGATCAGGATCCCTCCCGTTACTGTCCCTCATGCGTCGTACACGTGAACCGTAATTAGCACCAACCGTAGGACGTGAACCAGAGGTTGTCTCATCGAGATTGTCCGGGAACCGTACACGCGAGGTATGACGTCCTATCAATTTGAAAAATTGAGACGTAAGGCTCAACTCGATCAATGGGACGCTGAGTTCGGTAAACAATTCTGTCCCTAGGATTTGTATAGCTGAGGCGTTCTGATCCATATCCGTCGACCGTCGAGGTACTTGTTGTTTCATTTGTAGATGGCCTGTTACGCGCTCTAGGGACGATTAAAGACGGCGGGTATTCATCTGCAATGCGAGTTGCGGAAGTGTATATTGTGGAACTTCTCACAGTGCTCGATAGCTCATGGATTGTTAGCGCAGCTCTTTCGCTGGTTGATGTAGACGCTGTCAACGGGCGACTATTCTCTGGAACATCGCCAGGAAGTCTTTCTGGGTTGGAAGCCATTTGTTCGGAGGTTCGACAATACACTGTAGTAGACCACACAAAGGGTTGTAATAAGATTTTAAATCGTTAATAAAAGAACTTTAAATTTGCGGACGATATGGAAACCAGTAGATTATTTGAGTTGATTACACTAATAATTTAAATTATAATGTGTGGGAGACGTTGTTTGTTATTCAATGTTTTGGACGAAAGAAGAGGTTCTTAAATGTTGCTTGATGTGATTTCATGGTACGACAGTATTGGACTCGACATGTCATTTGCCGCATCAATGTATACGGTTTATTCACGACAACTGGATCGCGAAGTTATTAGTATACCTACTGCATTTTAGTTGAGAACAGCATCAGATTAGCAAAATTGTCAGCCTATTATTACGCACTGGTTCAAGAAAGAGCGGGAATTCACTATGCTGAGCTCTCCAAAGAAAGCGGCTTAGCTAGTCCATCCAAGTCTTGGAAGTTAAAATCCGGATTTTATGATTCAGTTCATGGTTTAGAAACGAGCTTTTTGCTGCTGTGAGGTGTAGGAGGAACGAAAATGTCTGCATTCACGTATGGTATATTCTTTCTTTTGGTTTCGGCATGGACGCGCTGGATTTGAATCTAATTTTTTGGTGAGTTTCAACATTCAAATTTCCTTGTAACACCCCACGTTAATGTCGACCATCGATTGTCAGATGTGACCCCTTCTTCTTTCTTGATGTATATGTATGAATAGATATAAACTTGAGATCGAGTGTCTTCTCGATCTCTCAGACCTCAAGAGAATTCGAGTTCTAAATTGGAACATTTATATATTGCCTTAAAACAAAGAAACTAGACGTTTCTTCCCCATTTTGATCGCTAGGTACACTCGCTTTATGTACATTGAATCAACATAAAAATATTTTCTAATGATTTGGCATACATCAATTGGCTTTTAGTTAGTAGAGTAGCAAATGGAAATTAGAAGATTAGAATGGAAAATCACCTTCCTTGTTTGATAGTAAGGAATCTGTCCAAACTGAAGCATTCGAGGTATCGATTTAGTACTGAGAATTAAATAGAGAGGACATGCATACCAATAACGATCTTCCCAAAGATTGTAAACGAATGGATTAATGTCCAGTGCAAACACGAACGGCATATCCTTCGAATTAAAACTGTATTACATACTATCAAATAGCGAATATCTTCCAGTATCATACAAGATCACAAACCCAACAGAACAAGACCTCTCCACTTTAGAGCAACCACAACGAAAAAATACAAGCACCAAACCGTGAACCGGTAATAGAATGAAATTGCCCATTCATTCTCATTCCAGAAGCACCACTAATTGTAACCTTCGCCGGCGGTTAGAGTAGCCGTTGACGAACTAATCGATCTCGAAGTCACAGAACTAGTTGTTGTAGAAGGTGTGCCAAAAACGCTACAGAAAGCTGGCCCAGTCCCTCGCAAAAAATTTGTATCCATGCTGACTTCAGTGTGAGGATCAGTGGTTGTTCAGTCTGTACAGGCGAGCTTGATGAAATTTGCGTAGAAAGTGTTGCAGCAGCAGGAGTTGGGAATGAGAGGGCGACAGAGAGTTTTTTGAAGCTGGATGAAGCGGCTGCGGAGTTGGTTTCGTAGACTGAGATTGTAGTTGTGGTTGTCATCTGGGTTGAGCGGGTAGATGTGCTTAGGTCTGCATTGGTGGTGTAGTAGTAATAGTAGTAGCTCCAGTAATACCTGAGTGTTCGTTAGTCGGGATGTATGCTGATATGGATCGGGATTTGAACTAACCATGTAATTGTGTAATGATAATACTCATACACTGTTATTGGTGTCAAAGTAATAGATGGCTCTGGAAGTTTTCTAATTGGCAATGGAATGCCGGTAGAAGCGGTGGTGGCACCAGGTGTACTGATAGTTACACTACCAGAAGTATGTCCAGAATATGTTAAATACGTGCAACATTTGATGCTACCCCTTACATTCACACGGATATTTCCAGCAGTGCAATAGCTTCCATCCGAACAGCATTTACCTCCATCCGGGTAGCAATAAAGATAAGTGAAGCAGTTCCATCCAGTGTAGGCAATAGTATACTACAGTGAAACTGTGGCGCGTATTAGCATATTGATATTGCAGCTAGTACGTATAGAAAGGAGGTTATACCACTCTCGTACATATTCATATGCCTAAAGAATACTAGCAATATACTGAAATACTGGAATCCAATATAAATATACATTCCTATCCTAATTAGGTAATAAAACTCCATTCCTTATTTCAAATTGAATGGGAATCCCTTATTTCTAGCCTAATTTGGATAGGAATGTATTATTTATATTGGATTCCAGTATTTCAGTATATTGCTAATAGTATTGAATAACTAAATGATATTGAATACTTTCAGTGGTATTGAATTCTATACCACATACGTACGTATTTCGAAAAAATTCGATACGCACCACTAAACTAACCCGTATACGAAATACGGGAAATACTATTGCCTACACTGGTTCCATCCAACTTCGCGTGTGAAACCTTGACAACAACTCTCTCCAGGTTTGACGCAGAAGCTACTTCCACAGCAGTTTTCGTCTCTTGGACAACAGCCTAGGTTGTCTTGGTATTTGTTATAATTTCCTTAAAACAAGGTTGAAGATAGCTTACTGGGGCATAGACCATATCCAGGGTCTTCACAGGTAAGCACTCTTGACTTATTCATGACTTCAGCAAAGAACGCCCGTCAAAAGGTGCCAATGCTATACCATTGTTTGTAAAAGAATTAAACTTCGAGGAAATTAAAACATCGAATGCTGGCGTTTGATTACCTAAAACAGCGGTATAGAAGATCAGAGAAAGAAAAAAATGCTTGAGGTGTGAAAACATGGCGAGGATTCAAATTCTTACAAAACAAACTGATCTCGTCTTATCTTGAACAAAATGAACTTGGCCCACCACATTATTATGGCCTTTATATTACGGCCCTCAATAAGATTCCTACTCATCGCTGTTGACACAGTTATCCGAGCTCTGCAGAAAATGGCTTACCAGGATTGCTGGGAGGCTGAAGTCCGATATAGCATAACTGCATACCTCGACAGCAAACTTGCTGTAGTGCATGAGCGTCCTATCTCCTCTTACACTCCAAAGCACTTTTCTTTATTATCCAGAATACCCAGAGAAGCTCCTCCAGTATCGTATTAGCTCTTCCTCACTTGTCAATAAAGAATATCAATACCATTACTTGTCAATTGACGTTATTGCTCTTGGCCACTTGATCTGGCAACGTTACAGGTCATCGATATCAAAACCTACCTGAAAATATTGCGCACCTCCCCAGAGCTCTTAGATGATATATACATACCATGGAGCAAATTCACCCCGATATAATCTTTCATGTGTCAGAAAATCTACCACCGCCAAGAAACGGGCTGAGTTTCCACAATCTAGACAGCAAAAATTACTTTCAACTGATCGGTTTCATGAGGCTCAACCCTAATCTCTCAATTCAAGCCACTACGCAGAACGGAAATTTTTGACCATAAAATGATTATCGATACGTGCAGGAACGTGGGGAGCCCAGATGGACCACGTGCATCGTGGCATGTGAGAACTGGAGAAGCTTCACATGTTGGCAAGAAGTAGGCAGAGTTTAAATACTCCATTAGTCTTACCTAGCTTAGCGACCTGGCAGATGTAAGAAACTGTGTAATGGAAATCTACAACGACTTCACTAAAGATCGTTGTCGTGTGAATCGCTGTGAACCTTTTCTGGAAAAGGAGGGTTGAATGCAGATTAAACAAACTATGCTCAATCTTCTATCGAAACAGGTACTATGATAGAGAGATTCCTAAAGACCTGGTCTCCATACCACCTGGTCATCGCATCATCTACCGGGAGGTAGTTGTTGAAGGTACAAACAAAATCTCCGCATGAGTCAGCAACCCCACCCTGTACCGTCCTACATATCAACTTCACCTCCTCCCTGCAATGTGATATCTCAAGGAAAAATGCCTCAGCCCACCACAGACATACAGATTTACGAAGTGGATGATAAGTCTACCGACGATGTAATTATTCGTGAGAATGCAAATCGGGAGAATTCTGATAAAAGTCTAGAGCTTTCCGAAAAGCCAAAGAGCACCCAGACAACTATCAGCGATTCGAGTACTATTCCAAATCAAACCATTCCGCCAATAACCCATTTCACGGAACCTACAACCACATATTGGCAAACCATTCTCCCATCCAACCACATCCCGCAAAATCCGCCCTATAAATATGGGTTCCCAGCCAAGCTACCCGACTCCCGTTTCCTAGTTCTCCCAATCAGGCCGTTGAAAGATAATCCCAAGCATGCGGTTGCCTCACTTCTGGTTAACCAAGCTTCCATGGAAGTAGTAGATATACTTTCCGATTTTCTTGCCGATCTCGTGCGTCGTTTTGAGCCGGATGTTATTATTGGGCTTCCCACTTTGGGTCTTAGTCTGGCTCCGCTTGTGGCTAGGAATTTGGGTTTAAGTATGTCTGTCACCTGTCAAGAATACTACTTGAGAAAATGAATCAAGGATAGAGTTAACGGTTGTTAGAAAGATATATACCCCTAGGCTACTCCCGCAAATTTTGGTACGATGATGCTCTCTCCGCTTCGGTATCATCCATTACATCCCCCGAACTGGGGTTGAAGAAAGTATATCTGGATCCGCATCAATTACCTCTGGTTCTAGGAAAACGATGTGTTATTATTGATGATGCAGTGAGTTCTGGTGCAACACTGAAGACGACCTGGGATTTGTTGGAGAAGATAGGTTGTGATATTGTGGCTTGTGGGGTGGTGATGAAACAAGGAAATAAATGGGAACAGAAAATTGGGCAGGAGAGAGTAGATAAATTGGTTTACGTGTTGGAAAGTCCTCTTTTGGAGGCCGTTGATGAGGGATGGGCATTCAGATCTTGAGATTCGTGCTTAGAGAGGGGATTGCCAATCGATCATTGTTTTTCCGATTCTCGAATTTGGTCAATCAACCTTTCGCTTTGATTTTACATGAGTAGAACTCAGACAATCTTAAGGTCGAGTATCTTCCTGATCTTTCAGACCCAAAGACCCTCAACATCTAGATTGGAACTTAGATTCAGAATTGCCAGATTTTGTATGGCAAACTCTCCGACAATTGGAGAGGAAGATTACAACTTGATCTTGACAAGTTGGCCCAATGAATAGCACCATTCTTGCCCTTCGTTCAAGCATTCTGATGATTCAACGATCTTCATACCGTTTTTTCTTGAGTACTGATAGTCATTTCTTTTTTATTATCATTCTATGTATTAATCTCTTCTCTTTCAAAAGAATATACAAATCATGTACAAAATTTGTACTGTACTCAAATATCATAACGAACGTAATGGTGTTAGGTCTTTCATTTTTCCAGACATGTTCATCCATGTCCAACCCAAACACCGCCCCCAGAATACATTCCCTACCTGGGTGTATACATTCGATCCTTACCCTCCAATACGAGCCATACCCAAGAAAGAAACCGAAGATTATAATGCATTTCATATCTCATCTCATTTAAATTCATATCTCGAAAACTTTTCTTAACTTATCTCAACTTTCCTCTTGATATTAGATCATTTCAGATCCAAATCTAGCAAGTAGTGATGAAAAGACCGATCGGGGATGGGTTGTAATCCTCAAACCACCACAAATCAGTGTCGCTTCCACCAGCATTCATCTCGTAACTGATAGCCTGTCCAGCTGGACAAGCGAAAGTGTCAACAACAGTCCAGGAACCAGGTGTGATGGTCTTGCTACCGAAATCAGTTGCAGTGCTTCCGATAGAATTATAGGTAGAGCTGGTGGTAACAGTGGTGCTCAATTGCTTGAAATCAATGGTTCCGGAACCGGAGAAGGTATATGAGGAAGTCTCGAGCATATCTTGAGTGGGGAAGAGGAAAACGAGGGAGCAAGTCTTGGAAGCGTATGAAGCTAGAATGTCAAAGTTGAAGAGAGAAGAGACAGTGCTGTTGACGACTCCATCGTAAGAGGTACCGTATGCCTTATCTGGGGATGCAGATGAGACGGGAATGATTAGGTTGGGAGAAGAGTAGGTGCCGTCAAGGTTAGTAGGGCAAGAGTTGGAAGCTGAAGCTGTGGACGAGGCCTTGGATGTGGCCGAAGAGACAACTGAGCTTGCTTGAGAGATAATGGAGGAGACTATTGAACTAGCAGACGAAGCCTTTGGTGTGGAAACGGCGCTTGTAGTGGCTTGAGCCTGGGAAGTGGCTGGGGCGCTAGAAGCTTTGATAGACTCGGTGGCGGTGACCTGTTTCGTGGAAACAGCAGTCATGCTCTGCACTTGAGTAACGGTAACTGTAGAAGGAGCGGCAGATTGAACTTGGGTGAGAGTAACTGTTGAAGGCGCAGCACATGTTTGTTGTTGAGTTTGAGTAACCACAACAGTTTGAGCTGGTGCAGTCTGCTGTTGAGTTTGAGTCTCTTCAATAGTTTGACCGGGCGCAGTCGAAGTGACATAAATAGTCTTAGCAGATGGGGTTTGGGTGACAACAACGGTTTGAGCTACAGTAACGGTTGAGGCAGCACATGTCTGTTGCTGAGTCGTGGTAGCAGTAATGACCGAAGCCTTTGAAGATTCTGAGACTGAAGCAGACAATGAGGCCTTTGTTGATGAAACTAAGGTAGAGGACGAAGCTTGTTGGGATGCGGATGTGCCCAATTTTGCTGATGAAGAGGACGAAGATGGAGCGAAACATCCACTAGCAGTCAATCCAATCTGTACACACTTATCCTGACCAGCAACAGGAGCAGTATAGATGTTGTAATCGTTGTCAGAAGATGGGCATGCATAAAAGACCGATGATCCAGAGTGAGAGTATGTGCCATCTGCGCCGATAGCAAAACCACCTGTGGCGCTCATACCAGTATCGCATTGGTATTGGTCAGCCTCTGATGTTAAATAACATGGTCGGCCTTTGGAATCAGTGGTTTCACTGTTGTTGATTGTGAAGGTTGCAGTGGGGTGATTGCCAAGGACACGGAGTTGTCCATCGTCCAATTGACCAACGATACTGGATTGACCTCCTGATGAAGTGAGGGTATATGAGCAAGTGTCCCGTTTGATAGAAGCAGCTGAAACGCCAACGGCGAGAGCGAGTGATGCTGATGCGGAATACTTCATGATTAACGAGTGGAATTTATTGTATTATTAAGTTAATTTTGTAGTTATAAGGTTGAAGATGTTGGCTTGGAAATTTTTGAGAGGAAGCAACTGCTGTCTATATACTTTCTCGTCGGCATTTTCCCAAGCTACTAATTTTCGAGAAAAAGCGATGACGCGGATTTGGTTTGTAACGACTTTTGTGTACATGAGAAGTCTACAAGAAATGGCTCACTGAAAGAACCGAATCAATGCAAATCGAACATCGATTCCTTGTGGAAACCAGTATTCTCATGAGCTAAAATGTTGATCAATATGCAGCTCATCGAGTGACATTTGTCCGAGAAAGATGATTTTCACAACAATGCAATGCACTTTACTTGGTTTGACATGATCTACGAGTCTATCATCGTAACCTCAACACCCCACAAAATGCACCCCTCGGCTGGGACCCATAGTATGGGATGAACAATTTGTTGATTGAACAATGTCTTCATAGACCATCCATGAGTGATCCATAAATAACCAGGAACGAACGGGCAAATTGCGGACAGCGGCATGAGATGTTCAGGAACGTAATCAAAAGATCGGTTAAGCATGCACTAGCCAGATTTTCACCTCAAGTGGACCATGACGAAACCGTTCTTCCGGTTACCGCGTTGTGCAAAGGGGTAAGCTTCACAAACCGAAATTAGGAGAAGATGGGATTGTTATCCATATCGAAACATGTGGTAACTTTTTGAAGGCGGGGTATTCTTCTTATCGTGATATAGCCTTGTGCAAAGTATCTCCGTCTCAAAAACCCATAGCTTTGGGGTTTCAATATACATGAAACAAATATATCATCAGTCAAGAAGATGTGGATAAGATGTCAAAGTTTGTAATATGGAGAGGGTGTTGAGGAGGATCATGTCGTCATAAAAAGTTTGCACATGGCTTACTGACAGGACCGAGAGATTTTTGTGCATCGAATGTTGAAAGTAAATCTGGATCCTGGTTTTCGCGAGAGATAAAGTCAGGTCGCGAAGATGCTATTTTTACATATTGACATTTGTAATATTTGGGACGCCAGCACTATTCAGCACTCCAATTTAGCCTCTCCCGGGCCTCTGTGCTAAGCTAGTGACTGGGAAGTGGACAGTCCCATGATTTCACGTGATGATGCGTACGTTTTTGTCTGGAAACACGAAAAAGTACTACCTATACGAATGAACGAGGCTGGTGTGCTTCGTGGATAATGGTTCCGGTGTCAAAGATGATTCGTGCGATTGGAAGTGTGGAGATATGACCCCGGTGAGTCTGGGCTCTTGAAAAGTCCGCTTTGAAAAAACGTTATAGTCTGGCTTAAGTCTTGATGTCTCTTGAAGAAGATCTCACCTCACTGCTGGCTGTATATATACATTTTGCTCTTTGGTGGTGTTGGAAGTCGTCATCAAAATTTTGAAATGGTGTCTTGCAAAACGATCCAAACGAGCGTTGTTTGAGGCAACCAATGAGTAGAGAATTGAAGGTGGTAAATTCTTCACCAAAGGACCTTTGGGAATTAGCAATCTCTATTACTTGAGCTGAGGTGTTTGCAAGATCAAGAAAGCTTTCGTACGCACTCCATTGACGTTTGCAATGCTTCTAGGCAATTGAAGAATTGGCTTCAGTCGTAATTAAGCGCGCGTCTTCAGGTGCGACTTTTTTAATTTCTTCCAGGACGAAGAGAAGTTGATGAACTTCCATAGGTGATAAGAGAAGTGGAAGCAATAAGATTCTTTTTCCCCTCAGGATATTGAAATCATTCTATGGGATGGATTGAAAAGTTTTGATGTTCGGGAAAATATTGCTTACATAATCTCTGAGTCAACCCATCTTCGGATAAGTGCCAGCTGATATCCGAAAATTCGGCACAAAGTCCGGGTGTGGTGATGAATTCGAGAAAGGAGCCGAGCCGGCCATGGTACTGCATTGATGTCGCAAGAATTCATTTGGCGATTGAGCATCGAGATTTACGGATAAGGAATTTCTTCCAGAACTTTTCATTGCAGCGAAATGACCTCCCGTTCAAACTTGAATACTAATTCTCTTGTCATGAGTATCAGTATCAAGGAACATTATCACCATTGCGGACATTGAATACGTGTAAAGTGTGAGCAAGTTGACAGAAGTTGGAGTAAAAAATAAGGTACTGGAAAAGAAACCAATTTTCAAGATTTTCATATTCCCCTGCGCCTTCCCTAGCACCATGAACCTTTACGAGAAAACCTCTTGCTTTCTTTGACGAGGCTCTCGTCCAATCTCTAGATATTTCCACGGGAATCTCGGTCTGCAAATGAGGTTACATTTTGAGGCACAGAAATCATTTTGTGAAATACTAACAACTTCTCAAAGAGCCGAAGTTTTCTACCTGCTGAAGGTGTCTTGCAAGGAATAATATGCTTGATTTTTAATACATGTTCTTCGCAAATGAGACGTCAAGTGGTGCATTGATCATCATTCTCCCTCCATCAGATACAAGAATAATGTGAAAGGTATAGAGAGAAAGGTAAGAAATCAATGCAGCGGTGTTTAGCAGGGAGTCGAGCTCAAGGAGATCTCATCACTTGCAAAAACTATCTAAACAGATATGAGATTGTTAGTTACCAGTCCGCATGCATCACTTCAACTACCGCATCCGCCTGCCAAATTCAAGCCTCTGGTACCTATAAACTTGAGTAAATAAAGGTCCTAAGAGATGAAGTTGCATTTAGCATGTCCACATCTCCTTTTTGTGGCCAATTCAAGGCGGAAATGAGATTTCTAGTATTTTTACTGAATGATAGAGTTGTGGCCTGCTCCAATTTTAAAAATTGATAAGTTTGATATGTGCCAAATCTCTTTCAGAACAAACTCATCAGTTATACTTGGCAAGTTGCCATTGAATGACTGGTAGTGATACTGAAGCTTTGAACTGCCATGTTATTTCGACTCTAGGTGTCTGGTTGTAAAACAGTTTTGTATTGTTTGTCATTGAAAGAGCCAGTTAAAAAAGCGAATATGATGATCGAAATACATGACTCAATCTATAAAGCACGTAGTAGTCTACCAGGGATAGTAGTAACCTATGAATTGTAATTCTTTCTCATGTTTCACATGTTTGGGCTGAGCCTCGAAGGTCATATTACTTGGAATTTTATTATAATGTGTTTTATTACAAGGTCCTGACTACTACGAACCACTGTTTTAGTATTCAGAGATTCTCATATCTCTTTATATTCTGTCAAAACTTTCGATGACTAACCATAGACTAAAAATGTTATCATAGATTGTACAGATGCATTGCCAAAATAGTGCTACTCAGATGGTATGTCTAGAGCTCAACCAGTATAGAGTATTCAGACAAATCAGTCGTCACTTTGCGTATCATCAAAAGAGAGGGTTTTCAGGGAGATTGAATGAGAATTATGATCAGTGAAAACACTGGTATCAATAGTAGAAGAGCAGAACTTGTATTCAGTGGTGGATTATCTCAAGTTCTGTTAAAAAGTAGTCAAATGCGAACACCACAAAGCAGATGTTTTGGAGAGCCAGAAAAGTCCCTTCATAGCTCCGCCATTTACTGTTATATTATAGAATTTTCAAAGTTTACCTAGGTATGCCATACAAAGCTGCTAGTGGATAGCCACAGGTACACCATTGCTGTTGAAAAAAGAAGCAGAAAGAGAGTCCATGTCGTTTTCCAAGTTGGGTAAAGCAAGAAAGATATCACCTGCTTTGTAGTCGTTGATGTACAGGTGCTGAGTTTGTCTGCAAGTAAAGAAAAAAAAAAACGTCATTACCGTACCACCCAAGGCTAGCTAGCTGTAGGGTAAGGAACTACTGTTGTGTTTGATGATCGAATGCCACATCAATATTACTCATTAAATCATGAGAGTCATTGACCAATACAAACAATCCAATTGAATTAGAACAGTATGAGCCCAGTCATTGAAATACATCATGATCATACACCATGTTTGACAGTATTGACACTGAAAATTGACTGATGGCTAGAAGAAGAAGAAAACGAGAACTAATCTGGCAGTCCAAAGAAACTACTAGAGTTTGAGATAAATAGAAGTTCATGTGCATATAACTACTAGGTAGGCAGGTTGATGAACATTGAAAATAAGAAAGAAAATAGATGATGGAAACCCATAGTGATACTTTGGAAGCAAATTCAAACTCGAAACCAATCAATATAATTTAATATGTGATTAACTTCTAACTTCTATATACCAATTAAGACAAGAGAATGAGAATGAGAATGTCATACTCAACAATGAATGTAAATTATATATATCACGTTATTCACTTCTGTCAAATGGAATGAGAATGAGGGGATGGAGTCCGAGCGGTAGCCTAAACTTAATTTATGTATTAAATTGGCCTAATTTATCCGAGCTACAGTAGCTTTAGGCAATCTCGAGTCTCTCAACTTCCTTATAATCTTCCATCCTCACAATCACAGATCAATTTTACAACAACCTTTTCAACAATCTCTCTGATCAAGGACATTCTTATCCAGATCAAGACATCCAGAAAAATCCAACTGAAACGAATTACTCAAAATTCTTTAAAAAACCGATCACTTTTCACAATGGCATTTGACTACCAGTCGGGCAAGGTCTTTGGACTCAATTTCAAGGATCATGATGCAAGAAAGATGCGCCATGTCTTAAAACATTACCAAAAACTCCCAGAAAACCAGGGTGATAGACTTGCCCTTTTTCTTCGTCTCCAGACTTTTGAAACAAGTCTTGATGAAGAAGTTTCTGTAAAAGTCAAGGAATGGTTCGAAAATGGTGGTGATCTTCCATCAACTCATCCCGTGACTGCACCTGCGGAAGATTCCAGCGGAGAAGATGGAGAAGACGAAGAGGACGAAGATGAAGAAGAGGGCTCTGATGATGAGTCAAGTTCCGATTCTGGTGTTTCCGCCAACTCTGGTTACGAGTTGCTGTGGGAAGATAGAGAAGAAGCCTTGAGACGCAACCCCGGAATGGATCTTTTTGACCTTTTCCCTCAACGTAAGTTATATACCCTCTAATATTACCATACCTTTTGTATTTACACCTGCTTGAAAATTGTATTGAACTTATTATCTAGATCCTGACAATCCCGAACGCGACAACTACATCTTCGGCGCCGAACCTGATAATGGTGAATTCGGAATGGAGCCCAACAGCACGGATGACGAAGAAAACTCGGAAAGTGAGGAGGAGAGTGAAGATAAGACAGAGAGTGAAGACGAAGATGATGACGAAGACGATGACGAAGACGAAGACGATGAAGACGATGAAGAAAACGTAGAAGACGAAGAAGAAGAGACCAAAGAGGAACCAGAAAGTGGCGAAGCACATGATCGTTCCCAAAAGCAACCTGATAAAGTGGAATGTGTTATTTGTGCTGAGGATGTCCTGATAGTAAACACCTGGTCTGATGTCACAGGTGACTGTCATCACCGAGATACTTTAATTTGCAAGGAATGTCTCGATCTATCGATCACCACAGATATAGAGTATGGACTCTTGAATGGTATCAAGTGCCCTCTTTGTACAGCTGTCCTCACTGATCACGATGTTCGTCGCAAAGCATCTCCGGGCGTACTTGAACGGTCGGTGAATCTCATTGATTCTTTGTGTTCATTGCTAATTGTCAAACAGTTACTTCTACTTGAGAGAAAAGCTTCCAGACCCGATACCTTTGTGATGTGCTTAGGCCCCAAGTGCGGTGGAGGTCAAATACATGAAGGCCCGGAGCCATTGATGATTTGCGACCATTGTAAATTCAAGACTTGTGTCAAACACCAGTTACCATGGCACGAAGGACAGTCATGCGACGAATTTGATGTCGACGACTCACAAATTGAACGTTTGGAGCAAGAAGAGGCTACAGCTAAGCTGCTGGCAAAGGATTCTAGGATTTGCCCAAAATGCAAAGAGTGTGTTGTGAGAAGCGATGGCTGTGACCATATGCAATGTATGTATAGATACATCTCTTCATACAGACTCATTACTAACAATTAATACTTAGGTCGCTGTGGGAACTCCTGGTGCTACCTTTGCGGTGTCGACTGGGAAAATATCCTTAGACTCGGCGACGCAGCACATGGCAGAAACTGTCCCAACCACCCCGATTCGTACAAGCTCACTCGGGGCCAGAACTTAGCCAATGAGACAGCCCTCACCAATCTGGTACATGGCAGACCTGTCAACGAGGCTCAAACTCGAGCCAAGTACGCCAAACAAGCTGCGAGAAGAGAGACAATGAGACCATTGGCATTGGCTGCTGCTGAGCAGAGGACGAAAGAACAGGCTTTGGCAAAGTCAGACTCCGAGTAAGTATTCCCTCAGATCGCACTTTCATTCCATATCCCCTTCACTCCATTTTTTGGTTCTCTGGAACGTCTATGGTTTCGAGTGAACCTCGCATCCTTTTATTGTTTCCAATTACTAATTTTTCTGAAGCTCCAGTAAATCCGGACCACCCAAGAAGAAGACCAAATTGGTCAGCGCTTGGGAGGAAAAATGATTGTACAACAGAACGAACAGTACAGTACATTGGAGTAAGAATTTGAATTTTGGCAGAAATCATTGGCATTGGTGGATACTTAGGATGAAACAATTTGATGCGACGGCGTTTGTATAACTCTCCGCGCATAGGATAGGCGACGGGATACATATATCAGGAAGTTTTGTGATTCTCATTGGTGGTTGTTTTACCAGGATAGATTACAGTTATGGCGTTGTCCAATCAGCAATACTGTGAAAATAATATTGAGCAGATTAGTAATGATCTTTTCTCTCAGTTATCTAGACACTGTGCATACTTTTGGTGACTTCAAGTGACTATGCGTAACTAGGTATCTATCTATAATTTGGCCTTCCTTTTGAAGCATGGGGTACTTAATCTTCAAACTCCAAATTTTAAAATCCCACATTTTTCTCTTGGGTGCCATATATTCAATCATCGTGTTGAAGTAGTAAATGTCGATGATATAGTGTGGTATTTTGGACATCGAAATGTTGATCTAAGCATTGTTTTCACGGTGAGTCTCAGTTCCTAATCGGACTTGCACACAATGTCCAGGTGAACTTTGATCTATAGTACAGACCTAGGTAGGTTCTTCGGCTTCACGTGATTGCTCCAAAATAAATCATTGATATCGTCTCTAGGTATTCTTTGGTATATACGCGATACGCTATACGTAATTTTCTGGGCATCCTCGAGGTAATTATGGGATTTCTGCAGTGACAACTTGGAGTATTGGGCGGGGATGGTTTATGTTCTATTTTTGTCTTTATTTTGAGTGTTAGGGGGGTTGTGGGTTCGTTTGGGTCATTTTGTTTGAGGTTGAGGTTGATGTTTATAGTTGTTGAGGTTGGGTTTGTGTAGATGGGATACTCGAGTGGGTGTTGATGGGTATTTGAATGGTGATTGTTATTATTATTGTTATTAAATTCTAAGTAGGTATTAACTATCGAATTATATCCGCTGATGTTATACATTAATGATTACTTGGTATCTGTAAAATTATATCAATATCTCTTTCCTCCTGTTACTTGTTCACGAACAAATCCATTTCTATGTCTTGGCTATGACATAGCGACATCCACCCATCTACTCTTCCGACAATCCTGCCCAGCGAAATTCTTTGAAAGAAATCTTCGGCGGATTCCAGCCAATTTTGTCAGACTCTTTACTGAGCCAGGAAAACCACCACATGAGCAGAATATTCCTATCAAAAGTGCTGGGCCGATCTGAATCCGCAAGAACGTAATACTCAATGTACGTTGCGTTGCGAGAAACGCAATGCGGAAGTACGTATATGTACTCCAGATTTCGCAGTTTACCGATGAACAGAGTTGAGTGATTAGGGGGGTCTAGCTGAATGTGGCCCTTGTAAAGAGTCAATAACATTTCGAGATCCTGGATGTTTATCGCTAAACGTTTCACGCATCCAGAAGGATATATATTGATGTTCTGGTAGTTCTCCAAAACTTGTTCAGAGAACAACAGGATGTCTTTTTCGGGACGGAAGTAGAATTGGTCTATCATGAGTTGGTCTCGAGCGTGCCATCCGCATCCACGGGTGATAGTCAGGTATTCGAAGTCTCCTTCCTGAAATTTCCACTTTCCGCCAGCGTGGAGGAAGGCGTCGATGCGATCGCTGCGTCGTCTGGTTTTGGGTGATAGTAATCTGCTGTGGATATCGACTCGTATGAAACGTGACTTGCTTTGAAGCGCGGCTTGGTACATGATCTCACATTTGATTTCTCGAGGAAAACGATCATATAGTGGAAATTGTGGTATGGAAGGCTCCCGTGGGAGTTTGCTTGGAGAGTTTGAGACGGTTGTAATGGATGTTTGTATGTTTGAGAAATCGAAAGTTCTTGATCGTGTTTCCGAAGCTTCGGGAGTGTGTGTTGGAGGTGGTGGGGGAGTGAAGCTCACGGTCTCGAGATCAAAGTACGATGATTGAGACATGGGTGCTAGCGGGATGTGCTCGGTTTCAAAAGTAAGAGATGTGTCAAGTATGAGAGTAACTTTGTTGCTTTTGATTATCAGATCCATGGTTGTCTGGCTTGAAGTGAAGAGTGTGTGAAATTACTTTTTTTGGAAGTGAGAAATGTTTTGGGTGAAAAATATTCAAAATGAAGAATGACAGCTCCAGAATTCTAAGTAGTACTAAGGTAACGGATTAGTAGCAGAAAAAAAAAGGTTTGTTTCTAGCTTCCATGCTAAAAGGATTAGTTGTGGAGGAAATTCATTGAATTTTGACATGTAAGTTACGCCAAGTAAAACCGTCAATATCTAGAGAAGAGAAAGAGGCTAAAACGATCCACCTTGTGCACTCGATATCATTCTGGGAAGAAAATTTTGGGGCGATCATCGTTCAATGATTATAACTAGGCAATTTAAAAGGTAACAGTCTTGTATTGAAGCAAGAACTTGTATGGTGGGTGCATAAATTTGTCCTAGTCCTAAAAACGGTTTTCTCTAAAACGGTGACACCCAGTAGATCCTGAGTAAACTACTACTAGTCTTCCTCCAAAAGAGGGCTAAAATGGCGCCCATGTGACTTAACCTCAACTCAAATTAATTTTACTTGACTTCATTGACACATTGATCATCAACCACCAAAGTTCATTTGTACGCAACGATTTTGACGTTGTTATTTTGCTTTGAAGTACTCTCTATATTCTATCATTCTATCTCTGGACATGTCTATTCTTCCTTTGCTATGTAACACTATCATATGACAGAATTTGTGACCACTAAGGCAGATGCTTACGTATACTTCTTTATGAACAATTCATTCCTCTACCATGACCTTCGCTTTGACTGTTGAATCGCCTAATTCTAAATACTGGGTCTTCTTTTCTTCGTCAGTTCGCACGTGTTCAAAAGAACTAAGCAGCTCGTCACCAATTGGAGTGCGTTTTTAGCCAGACTTCTTGACCTTGGGAGCCGTCTCGACCCATTCTGGTGTTCGAATAAACTTTCTTTTGTTCGTGATAAGATCTCGAAGGGCTCTAGATAGTGTGGTCTTTTCGGAAGCCTCGAGATACGCTTGGTCAAGGTGATCCCAGACCTTATCAAGCAACTCCTCAGCCTGTCGCATTCTGTGATTCGTCGCCGCATTTCGACGTTGCTCTGCAGGGTAGTAAAAGCAGTTGGGCGATTCGATAAGTTTTGTAAGCTCGTCCACGGCTTGGTTCTCCAGGTTTTCAAAAACATCCATCGTGCGTTCCCATTTGGAGGCCGTAATGGCTTTTATGGTGCCATCATCGGCCTTAAGTTTTTGATTTACTGCTGATGCCCAGGGTTGATAAAGATATAAATCTCGACTTATCGAAGCAACAATGCCAATGTCCGCTAAAATTGACGACCCCAAAGTCGTGATTCGGTCCTTTTCAGTTTGATTTGCAAGCAGATAACGCTCGAGCTGATCAACTAGATCCGGTAGCGAGCAATAGAGAATGGCCTCGTTCTGAGATAATTCATATAGTATGAAGAAGAGCTTATCCTGCGCTCCGGCTTTTATATCCCCTCGTATGGTAACAGAATAATCAAGCAGTATATCTTTAACGAGGCTGTCTTGGAAGGCTTTTGAGAACAAAATCTCTCGCCTTAAGTTATCCATTCTCAAGTATTCACTAGCCCGGTCTAGATTTTCCCAAAAGCACACGAATACGCTTTCATACTCAGATGGAGGCTGCCTGTCAGAAGCGATCTCTGCCGAATACTTTCTTTCAAGATTTCGCCAGTGCCGAAAATCATCCCGCAGATTGTTCCAAATGAGCAAGGAAACACATGCGTATTCGAGGATGTTGAATACTTCAAATCCTTTCGAATCTTCTTCGCTGGAATGACAATGACGTTCGCCTGCGGCATCAAGCATCTCAGCGAAATAGCTAGGATCTTCCCTTAGGGACCATAGGTGGTCTTCTGCTGCGGCACGTCTCGTTTCAAGGAGATCTTCTATTCTTTGAAAGTCGATTTGACTCGGTGGTCTGTAAAGAGACTCGGTTACAGAAAAGACAGTACTCAGCCGTTGAGAATAGGATGGAGAGATGTGTTCCGGTTCAGGGACGATATTAAAATTATGATTGTCGTCCAGAAGCGTTGGAATGTCATGAAGTATTGCTGAGCAACACTTCACGAGGAATTGATACGTGAAAACCTGTGCTCTCAATATCACGATTGCTTTTCCTGGAGGGAACCCTAGGCCAGACGCATAAGCCTCATGTGATCTTTCCTCTGATTCGAGAAACTCAATGTATTTTCCCGAATCTGGATTTTTGAAGATGACAGCGCGTTTCCATGGCTTCAATCCATCATAGATCTTGGGTTCTGGAATCTCCCACATATTTAACCCGAAGTGCATAGCGTAGAAATCTGCATGTACAAATAGATGCGGGGAATATCGACCTCTCGAGCTCAAAAAAAGAGGCAGGAACATGCCTTGTGTGAGGTCCTCTAAATTGATATATGGTGTCTCCATGGATCTCTGGTACCCATTCGAGTTGAGGGGTGCGTCAGTCCAGCGAGCTCGCAGATTATCAAATTCCGGAGCATGCTCCTTTGGAATCTTCGGATATACTTCTTGCAGAAGTTGAGCACGTTTGACCTTGGATTTTTTTGGGCCAGCGCTTGCGTATGACCGGTTCATATGCGCCCATGATTCTTCCAAGGAGACCCCAATTCTTTGTGAGCTCTTCTGCGGCTATGACAGCCGCGGCAATTTCGTCTTCTTTGAGCGTTATGGGCCGTTGCATGTCAATTTTTGAGAACTTTCTCGACATTCTTGTGGCGTATGGTTCTTTATATGGATCTCTGGTGTTACCATGCCTCATGTTGTAGCATACAGGCTTGTAGATCTCCATTATGATTTCGGATTATATTCGTTATTTGGAATGAGGAGTTGGATATTAGAGATCAGAATCCGTTTTGGTTCCAGAAAACTTGGAATTGACGTGTAACAATCGACTATTCGGGACTCAAATAGCAATTAGGCAAATGAAGTGACTGTGCTTTTGAGGATGTGTTAGATTACTATCATCGAAAAGGGGAGTTGAGCTCTAAAACCTTGAATGACGTCTAATTTCGACAGGGCTGAGCTTGATATTCAAGTCTAAGATCAACAATGTGCAAGTGGTTGAGAATGTGTAAGTAGTTGAGGATTGGCGAATATTCAGTAACACAGTAAGTGACAGGTAGTTGTCTAAGCCTTGAGATAATAAGTTTTTGAAATGAAGTAAATATCGTAAGAAATATAAAAGAATGACCAGTAGAAACAAATTTGTTCAAAATATAGTATATAAAGAACACGATTAATCTCACCAAGCAACAGCTTGTAGACTAGATCCAGGAAAGTATAATATCAAATTAGATAAACAAAAAAAGCTGTATTGATTCTTCTTCGTCTGAGTCATTTCGAATTCGGCTAGTCTCGGAAGTTAGATAAATTATCTTGTAGTGGAAACAGGTATTTGGTGAACCTTTTGAGTGAATCATTGTGCAAATAGTGGATCTCCTCAACCACTGAAAAATTGATTGTAAGCATGATGTTTGATGATTGGTTGCGAAGGGGTAATTGTAAATGGTTCTTTTGAGATGATAATATATGAATGGAAATATATAAGTAGGAAACATAATACATGAAAAGGAGGAGAGTATGTGATTGAAGGAACTTAACATGACTTTCTTTTATATAACTTGGTTGGTTTGGAGAGCATGAATGAATTCTTCTAAAAGAAAGGGTTGGTGTGTGTTAGGGTTATGAAGGTTACTTTAGATTGCCCAGGTGAGTATCCTATTGCTAGATTTCAGGTGTAGTATATGTATACAGAGCTTTGTGGAAGAAAAGAAAGTTTTTCCACTGCTCAGGTGCGATCATAGATGATTATAATGATGTATTGCGAGGAAAAGGGACAATTAGTTAGTAGAAATGAAGTCTATTTGCGACCAGAGAGCGGCCTGTTTGTGCAATGCTACTGAGTCAAATATAATGGGCTGTAAAGTTCTTATTGTAATAAATCACTGTGTAAACCTACAAAACATCACCTATGAGAATTTCACCTTGAATGCTGTGGAAGACAAATATGCAACTATCAAAAAGCAAGCAGTGGTCCTTGATGACTCCCACTGAACAAACCAATTTCATAAATCTCTTTTTTTTGAGACTATCTAATTTTCGAATAGTAGAACCTTGTGGGTACCCCCTAGGTATAGACATATTATCAATTTTTTTTTGGCAAAGAAAAGGTTTTTTGGTAGTTAAAATCCTCCTGCCCCAGCAGTAACTCCAACTCCAACTCAAATCACAACCCACACTCCCAAGCAATATCCATCCATAGAAGCAACAGCGACTATGGCTTCAAAAGCCCATACTCCTTTCCAGTAAAACGATTGCAAGATAACTCCTGCTCACCCCGACCCAGCACCCCATATCGCATATCGCGTATCGCATTTAGAACAGGTAGTACTCTTATGGACCTCTTACAGCTGGTGCAAGCTCTGTTAAATCTCTTCCGCCCCAGCCAATATCACGGCAAGTTAATAGCGCAATCAACCTAATGATTCCATGAAAGTAGCCAAAGAGGATTTCTGCTGGTACAGCCCACCACATCTCATGTTTATTGCGCATGTAATAATTCCATGGCTTAATCGTACGACTAAAAATTATTGCCCAAAAAAGATATGCACCAGCGTGATTATTCTCGGTGTAGAAGTCGGATTTGAAGAGTGTGAAGAACAAGAGAGAATCATAGATGATAGAGATGTTCAACAGTCCGGAGACAAACATGGCGTAGCTAGTCCAGGGGCAAAATTTCCAACATGTTCCATCGATGAGGACGGTTTTGAGATGGGAGCGCCAGATTGATCGGGACCAGCGGAGAAGCTGTTGGTAGAATTTGGGCCAGCCTCCCGATGTGCCTAGAGTTGTTTCAATGAGAGCTTCTGGTCTGTTGTGAAATACGGTCTTGTAGCCATGATTGATCATGTATCTTGTGTTGAAATTATCATCGTCGCAGTTGACTGGGCCGGCTCCCAAGAAAGTTTCAGAAAGGAATTTACTTCTGTAATCGACTGTTTGCACGATATCTGTTCGGAGTAAACATATTCTTCCAGAGACAACCCATAATCCACCGTCAATGTTGTAGGTAGAAGTGAGCTCATAATTGTGGCGCTCAAGGTAGATGCAAGCGAAGAAATTGCGGAGAGAATCAGACCAGTTGTTTCCAGGCTCGCGGATGACACGCTTGCAGGTTCCGACAATACCTACAGCTGGGTCTTCAAATTCTGCGAGAACACTCTGGAGAAAAGTAGGAGGCCAGAAGACATGATCATCGACATAAGCAATGAGTCCAGTTTTAACCTGAAGGGAAGCTTGGACGCATTGAACACGTTTGCTTGGCTGGTGAACAGCAATAACCTCAATCTTTCGTCCAGGAAGGCGTTTCTCTCTCATTATTCTCTCGATGACTCTGCGGGCTTGTATGAGCTTTTCGGTTCCGACTGTCGAGATTATGATTTTAGCTGGGTGATTTTCGAGGACTGAATCGATAGTTTTGACAAACTCGTTGGCGAAATTACCAACGCTTGCTATAATTACCGTAACATCGCTTGGTACAACAGAGGGGTGGAGCGGCGGAAGTTTGTAGCTAGAGAGAAAGTTGTAGGAGAATAAATGGACGACTACCTTCAAGAACTTGAAGACAAAAAGGAAGACGAAAGCTGCTGACCAGGGTCTTGCTACGAAGAATTCGTGGAGAGTACCGAAGAATTCGCGCGAGGCTTCAGAGCTGCTCGAAATTAGCAGTACTGCAGAATAAATAGGAGCCCAGCAGAGAAAATTATGGAGCGCTTCCACTCCCCGCCCCAGTTTGGTATTTGGCAGAGAGACTAATATAGAGAAAAGGCCTCCAATAAATGTGGTGGCACCGAAGCTTGCGAGTGTCGGATTAAGCGCGAGCTCAAGAAGCTTTTGAACAATTCTAGGAATCGATAATAAAATCTGACCAGGTACAATTATAAAGGAGGCGACTGACTGGGGTATCGAATATGCGAGGAAAGGGATCGATGAAATGACGAGAAATGGTGTTTTAAAGACGAAGGTAATAAAATCAAACAGAGTTCCTATAATAGATCTTCTCGAGAGGTTACCCAATCCTTGGTCAATGACCTGAATGGCTCCTCCTAGTTTCCCATTTTCTTGACCTTCTGTAACAGTTTCAAAAACTGTTGCAGCTGCATCTTGCATCTCTTCCAGAATGGGGTTTGACATGGTAAAGGATTTATCAAACGTCTAGTTTGTAGTTGGCGGCTTGTGTCAGTAAAGCCAAGCTTCTGAATTGATCAACTGTAAATGAATTTCCAATAGATGGTTGTAAAGCTGGCGGATTGCTTCGAGTCTCTGAGGAGAATGCAAATTGAGTATAAGATTCTCAAGGAACCTTAGGAAAGAAGAAAGGAACAAGGTGGGACATCCCACACATCCAAATCTCCTTGTGGGAGCCATGGCAACAAGCTGGATGAATACAGAGCTCAACAAAAGACTCGAATAAATTTTTGGAGCCCCACTAGGATGTAGAAATTTCTCCTTGAGTACCTTGTGAGTCTTCTTTATTGAGATCAGAAGTTCGGATGAAAACATAACTGGCCTTTCATGTGAGATTCGCGTATTGACTTGTTCTTTGTAATTGTCTTTGCCCCCAAAACTGTTGAGACACGGCATATTCAGCCTTATCAATCGCATATCTACACGAACTGTCGATCTAGGAAGATTTTTCTTCTCTTCCCGATGAGTAAACAAAAAGGGTCTGACCCCCAATTGACATATTATCAAGTCAAATGATCAAATTATAGAAGGTGGGCCAGGTTGTAACAACAACAAAGACTGTAACAATCCTTAAGGAACAAAGACAAACATCGTGAGCCATATTTTCAGACAAGAAAACCGTGGCAGTAATAATCAATACTAGGGACATACATATCAATACCAGGAACATACATCCAATGTCAGAGGTATAAGATGAATGTACCTAGACATACACATCTTAACATCTAATGTACAAGTGAAAGGTGCACAACGTTTTCCTTGTTGATAGTTCACTTCCCAAACATCTTTTTAGCTTAATGACTACTAGGAGAGAATTGCCATTATATTTGCATGTTGTAAATCTTAATTGTTTGATACTTTTTTCCACCTATCTATCTAACAAACCCAGCGTAAATAGACACAAGTTAGGCAGTGTCATTTGAAATCAGCAACATAATGAATATACATATAAAGGGTTAATGCAATGGCTCTAGGCTTATATAAATGACTGGAATTGAACAGGAAATGTAATAAATCGAAGATTATCTGTACCTCCATCTCCTCAAGTACAGAAATCTTGAAGGAGGTTGAGATATGGTTGGTACTAGTACTAGTGTGATCCATCCCCGCATTTTGAGCACAGACGGCAATTAAATCTCCGAGCTGCCACAGTAACCTGTTGTGCACGGTCCATGTTTAGACCTTCCCTCGGCTCCCTCCTCGGATCAGGCACCACAGTCAGTGTACTTTTCTACAAACTCTTCAACAGCATATTGTCTAGCTCAGTAAGTCTTGTTTCTTTCCACATACCTACACACCATAACATTGAGAACAGATAAGCTTTTTGGAAATTTGTTCGCCTGTTCATCTTAATTGACCTACCAATCCTCTTCCTTGGTATTCGTTAGATTGGATACTCTTATCTTGAGCTGGCCTTGATACGCCACCTTCATATTCCATCCAAAGACTTGAGTCTCAATATTCGATCCAAGAATCTCTCATAAAACAGGAACGTAGGTTTGCCAGTTTAATATACATGTGGCCCGAGAATATAGAGCTCCAAAACTCTGAGCACATAACATATAGTGACATAAGCTACAACAAACTTTCGCTACCAACAGAGAACTGTACTCTTGGTAGTATGAATATCTTTAGGGCAGAGTAAACTCAAGCAATAATCAGAGAACTAATATCATTACAGAATGCCTTGTACCTGCTGTTCCCGAGATCAAGCTCCATCCGAACAAAAATATGAGCCTTTCATCTCGAGTCAAGAATTAGGGGAAAAATGTCCGCTCGACAGCAAGACTACCAAGTCTTTTAAGCTCCCTATGGTTCGCCCCAAGAGTGCAATCAACATTAGCCTCCTTATTAAGATGCCTATGGAGATCTTCCAGCGCACTCTCAAGTATCTTGACATTGAAACTCTGGTTAATGTTCGCCGTTGTTCTCAATATTGCAGACTGGCAGTTGAAACTAACCTGGAATGGCAAGAAATTTCTGAAAATGCTCCAGAGGCATTGCGCGCCATTTTAAGTACTGGAGTGGGATCCAATGTACTTCTGCTCCAGTTGCATTATGCCTTAACAACCCCTGAATGCGAATTCTGCGTAGAAGACTTTGAGCCCCGTACGCAGTAAGTACCGAAATCTCTTCAATGGTACCGAGACGTGCTAATTAAGTTAAAGTTTGGATGATGAAAAAGTCATGGGTGCTTTTTTATCACTCTTTGAAGGCAAGCGAGCTTGCGCTTATTGTCTCCGGAATGATATCTCTCTTAGAACCATTCCATATATCGACTTCATCCGACTCCAGCGTCCCAACTCTGCAATCAAAATTTGGCCCGAGGTGCAAAATCCACCAAAGTTGCGAACGCTTCCAGGTACCTACGGCTACAATAGGTACAAGAGCTCTCAACGTCTGCTTCTTGTTCCCCTGGGTGACGTCGAATACGTCGATGGAATGTCCATGAGCAACAACGAAAGACAATTATTGCTGCGCTCACGACACGAAGTCATCATCCCTAAGCATCCATTCGCTGATCGCCCAGTATTGAGCAGACAACTCGCCCCACACGATACCTACGTGGGATTCGAACGAGAGGATGAGATAGCCCGTCGTTACATGACTGCTATTCCATTTCCTTACTTTGGAAAGACTCATACCCACCCCAACACTAAAAAGCGTGTGAATTTTCATGGTTGCATCGAATGTCATCTCCAAGAGAGATACCACGAGAGACAATTCTTGGTATCTTTCAATCAGGGTGATGCCGACGCAGTAGTCATGACATGCGCGGAAAACTTATACAAACGACAGACGAGACAATGGCTCAATGATGCATATGCGGAGAAGATACATGCGAGAGATTTTCACGAGCGCATCGAAGGAGAAGAAGTAGAATGGAGAAAGCGAAGACAGGTGCCAATCTTAATCTTCTCAGAACCGGATAATTCAGAAGAATTCCGAATGTGGGAACCTCCTGAAACCTACCCGCAAGGTATATGTTATCAAAGCTGACTGTATGAATAGGTATGACTATGACTATCCGCTTTTTCTATGAGATAATAGCAGCATTGGGAGTGGATAATTTGAAGTAGTCGGTACACAGGGAACACTTAGAAAGGAGCCTCACAAGCTGCGAAGATACATCGTCATCGCCTTCAAACAAATTTGAGGGTTAGTTTTGGCCATGGATCAGGGGCTAGGAAAATATCAAGGCTTTTTCGGGAAAAATTCCTATTCTCTAGCGGATTTTGAGACCTTGCCTACAAATGCATATCTTCCGTGAGAAATTTATACACCCCATAATCATCCGCGGACCACCATGGGATTCTTATCCAACCCTACAAAAATACCCACAATCCAATAATAACCTAAATCCAATCTTACAACCAAATTTCTGTTACACAGAACAGAACCTCGTACCTATGTAAATTGACCCAAAACGTGCATTTCAATTCCATCCAAAACCCACAGCCTACCTTCTGACATTAAACCCCTAAGTTTTTAAGGCCAAGTTACTTCTAAGTGCGGTTTGAAAGAATAAATTTAAAGTGTTACGCGATTTGAATGATCCTCTTCCAATAATAAACGCGGATTGGTATCTCTGTTTCTTCACATACCCACCTTCCCCCCCGGAATAATCACTTACTCCATCACCTATCTCCCACACCCCAAAAGATTGAAGAAAGCATTTATTAAGCTCTCCTTTCCCTTGAAGATCTTTAAATCCCAACTCTTCTCTTGAACATCCCTTCCAAATATCACATCTATAGCACAAACTCAAACCCAAACTCACATTCCCACGACCATGATAAAGCCTCTTTGGGAGTTCTCAAGAAACCAAAATTTCCATTTATAACACGCACAAGTCTACATAGGTATTATTCCAGCCCATTCCATCCCATACATTCCGGGAAATAAAGATATTATACACCCCTAACACGAAAAACATACAATTCATACACAAATCTGTGCTCCATTCCTTTCACTGTCCTCTTCCGTTCCTGCTTCACTACTCCTGCTATTCCCATCACAAACGCCCGAGAATAAATTTCTACTTCATTCTGCGCGAAGTTTTCCTACATCACATTATCATCCACCGTACCATAAGAAATTACAAGAACCCCTTGCTCATGCTATCCTGCCTACTCAAACTACTCTTTCGTTTAGGGATGTCAATCCCTGCATCTTCGGAGCCAAATTCACTACTCGGTCTCCAAGTACCACTCGCACTTATTCTCCCACCCGGACCTTTCTGCATTCTCAATGCCTTCCAGCCTTCCAATTCGCGCTCTAACCTCAAAGCCTTTTCTCTTTCTTCCCTTAGTTCACGTTCTGCTCTACGAGCTGAAAGTTGATTGGTCGAATCACTTGATTGAAGCTCGTCGATTGTCTTGAGAAGTTTTTCGACCTTATCTCTCGAGCGGGCGATATCTTCTTGAAGTTGCGTGTTGGCCTTTTCTTTGCGTTCAATTTGCTGTTGAAGATCTTTGACTGTGCGATCGACATTTCTTACGGAACGTTGCGACTTGTTGCGTTCGGATTCTTGCTCGTCAAGTTGGGCTTCGAGCTAATTTATGTTAGACTAGTGACAAGTTTTTGGGAAGGAAATTCTCACCTCTTGGACACGACCGTGAAGGAACCTCACGTCTTGGCTGGCACTTGAATAGCCTTTAGTTTCCAAATCCAGTAGTCGGACCTGAGTTTCTTTGAGTGACTTTTCTAGCGCAGCCTTCTCCTTGTTCAACTGTGCTGTCATTTCTCTCTCGGCAACAATGTCTTTCTGTATTTCAGATGCAAGTGCTTCAGATCGTCTCATCTTGCCGATGGCTGCAGCTGCAATATCTTCTTGTTGTGCTAAGTTAGATTTAAGTTCCAAGATCTCGCGATCCATTCCAGCAGCATTTCGTAGCGCAGGGCTATCGCTTCGTGCAAGATCGTCGAGACCAGCTTTAGCTTCCTCTAGACGAGCTTGTAAGCCGCGCTTCTCGCGTTGAAGAATGTCTCTTTCGGCAGCTGCATCGTCCACGTCTGTTCTGAGACTCCGCACTTGTGCTAATAGTGATACAATTTTGCCTTGAGCTTCATTGTGAGCGTTGACGGCTTCGTCGCGTGATGTATTGAGATCTGAAAGAGTGGCCTCCAGGCGAGCCTTTTCTTTAGACCACGTTGAACTGTTCATAACTTCATCGTCCCACTTCGTTCGAAGCTGATCCAATTCTTCCCGAAGCCTTGTGTTCTCTGTTTGTTTGAATAGCTTCTCCTCACGAGCAATGTCCAATTCATTCGTGAGAGTGGCAAACTCAGCTTGGTATTTCTTTCTAGTCTGTTCCATACTAGATTCTTTGTCTTCAATCTCCATGGCACGTTGGCTTCGGTAATCTTCAAGCTCATGTTGTAATCGCTTCCTTGCTTGTACTGCAGCATCGAGATCAGAGGAAAGATCCTCGAGCTTCTCTTCATAGTGTTGGTTCTGTTTTTGAAGATCTTCAATGGCTTCGTCCATTTGCTTCCGTTCTGACATGATTTCGGCACATGTATCCTCTGCTTCTTTTGCTTGAGATCTGGCAAATTGTTCGGCCCTAGAAGCCTTCAATACAGCAATTTCAGCCTGCTCAAGTTTGCTAAAGTACTCATCTGCTCTACTCTTATAGAGACCGAGACTAGAACTAACATCAGCCAATTTTGAGGATTCAGCATCCAAACGGATCTGAAGATCGGCAAACTCTTGCAAAAGTTGATTTCGACTGGCGGCATCCTGATCCCTTTGCAAAGTCATGTCCTCAAGATCAGACTTGGCATCTCGGAGATCAACCTCCAAGACTGCTCGGGTGTGTTTCAACATCTCAAAATTTTTCTTCGTATCGTTGAGGTCTACTAATGCATCTTTGTGAGCGTACATTAGAATTCGTCTGTTTTCTTCTTGATTGTTGATGAGCTCAAAGAGCTCCTCGTGAGATTTCGCTTGAATATCGCGGAATGACAATTCTCCCGTTTGAATACTCTGTTCAAGAGCGGAAACTTTCTTTGCAGAATCATCAAGCATTTCATGAAGTCGAGTGTTGGCTTGCTCAAGCTTGTGCACACGGCGTACTGACGGACTATCCTCAAAGATATCTCGTCCTGGAACAAAACGCTCAAGCTGGCTCTGTAGATGACGATTCTCCATTTGTGATAGCTGCAATTGATTTTGTAATTCTTCCACGTCAGCTTTCAAATCCATGCGATTGTTGAAACTTAACATATCGGCAGTACGATCAGAGCGTCCAGAATCTTGCCCAACGTCACCTGAGCTTGGAAAGCGGGGATTAGGTGGGGTCGCGCCTGACAGAGGTCTGCCATTGAGTTTGTTTCTAAGATGTGTCGGGGATGAATTTCGAGTTTCCTCATTGCCATCAATCTCCTCAAGTTTCGACCTACCGGGCGTGTGCCACTCGGAATGGTCACCAAACTCGTCTTCATATCGTTTTCGCAGTTCAAGTACTTGTGCTTCAGCATTCGACCGACCAGCAGCTTGAACTCTGAGATTTTGCCGAAGTTCCTCGACTTTTTGAGTGAGTTGAGAAATAAGGTTTGGGTTTTCAGATGTGCTCTTATCGAAACTACCATCGAGTTGTACAACCGGCGGTGCAGGCATCTCTGGGTCCACAATTTTCATCAGCTCAATGATATCTTTATCTCGGGTATCAATCAAAGATTGGAGTTGTCGATTTTTAGACTGAGCCTGAGAGTGCAACTGTCGTTCATCCTCCAATTTGCGGTTTGCCTCTGCTAGCTGGGTTGTCATAGTTGAAGAGGTCTTCTCCGCGTTTCTACTACTCAAATGTTCACGTTCAACCTCACGCGTTAGATCCTCAAGATTAAGCTCCAGCTTTTCTTTTTGCTTTTGAAGGGATGCCAGTTGAATTTGTACATCACCCAGCTGTTTATTGAGCTTCTTATTCTGCTCGTCGACCTTAGCTTTCTCTCTCTGGGCTGCTATTAGCTGACCTCTCGATGATTCACTTGCCCTAGAGCTCGTGCGGGCAATCTCGAGACCTTTTTGTTGAAGCTTATTGAGTAAAGCACGATTGTCGTTTTCAGACGCATTTAATCGACTTCGGACTGTGTTCAGTTCGCGTTCAAGTCGCTCCTTTTCTTGATCGACCTTCAGACCAAAATCTCCAGACTCTATCATGACCTTATTAAGATCTTCCACTTGCTGATTCAGGCGGCTGCACTCAGTCTCAAAATACTTTGCTCGATTCTGTTCCGCTTCAAGATCTTTCTTCAAACTAGCTTCGCGCTCGCGGGCTAGGCGTGATGCGTTGCGGTCTCCAACTACTTCAGCTTGTATCCTAGCCTCTTCGGCTGCAATCTTCGCCTCTCTTAGCTTTCTGATTTCGTTTCGCGCTTCGTTGCGTTCCTTTTCAGCAGAAACTCTGTTCTCCATTGCTCTTCTAAGAGTGTCCTGTTGGACGTATAATTCCTTTTCGATAATGATTTTAGCCTCATTTAGTTCTTGAAACTTCTCACTAAGCTCTCGGAATTTATGCTCTGCGAGGAGTTGGACATCGTCTCGAGATTGTCGTTCTTTGCTAAGGTCTTTTTGCACTTCTGATAATTGCTGTTTCAAGGTCGAGATCTGTTCTTCTAGCCTCTTTCGATTTTGTTCAGCGTGAGCATCTTCTGTCAGTCTAGCATCAAGAAGTTTTTTCGCGTCGGCAGCTTCCTTTTGTAGATTGGCTTGCTGGGATTTCATTGCGAACATCTCGGCCTGTACTTCCTTTAACCTGTTGGCAATATTTTCTTTTTCCGTCGAAAGTGATCGCTTCTGCTCGTCAAAACTTTTCTTCTCGGCCTCATATTTACGGTTATCAGACCGAAGGATAGCCAACTCGCTTTCCTTGCGCCTGACGAGATCTTCATACCCTGTCGATGTAGCAGATAAATCAGAAAGTTGCTTCTGTACTTTGCGGTTTTCGCTGGCTAAGTTGCTTTCCCTTAATTTAGAAGCTTGAAGGTCTTTCGCCGCTGCAGCCAACTTGACTTCCGAATCTTGATCGTTTCTGATCAGCTTCGCCTCAAGGTCCTGAACCTTTCTCTCCTTAATACTCAGTTGACTTTGCAGTAGCTGGACGTCCTGAGAAAGCTGCGCTTCTTGTGCGCTTCGATCCGCTTGCTTCTTGGCGAGATCCTTCAATTGATTGTCTAAATCAGCCAGCTGTTCAGCAAGGTTTCGCTTTTCGCTCTCCAGCTTAGCTATTATGTGACCTGCTTGCTCCAACTGAGATCGATATTCATCGGATTGATGTTCCGCTCGCTTTTTGGCCTCTAGCAAATCATCCAGTTGATCCTCAAGCTTTTCCTGATCTTCAATAGCACCAGCCAACTTATCGCTCAACTCCGTCTCACGGAGCTGCAGACGCTTAAATATCTCTTCCTTGTCTAGGGCTAACGCTCGTTCGCTTTCTAAGGTTTGTTGGATCTTTAACATCTCAGTGTGAGTATTTCGTCGTTCCTCGTCTAGTCTTTGGCGTTCTGACGCCTCTTGGTCCATTTTCTCGTTAAGCTGCTTTATCATCTCATCTCTCTTCTTGACTTCTCCTGACGTTCTCGAAGCTCCCAATAACGGCTTCATCTTGACTAAGAGGCGCCACCAAGGGTTCTCACAGAGGTCGATGTAAACTTGGAAATTTCGCTGTATGATCCGTGTTGCCTCTGCTCTATACAGTCGCTTATTGGCAATACGTCGTTGGGTAAAACCGCGTGCCAGGGATTGGAACCGTGTCATAATCTCGCGGATCAAGGCATCACGTTGTTCTTCAAGCTCTGCCAACACACCGGCACGAAAGAAGACTTTGGTGATTCCAACACGGAACAATGACTTGTCCAATTGAAGTTTATCTAACATCATACTAGCTGCTGTCTGGCCATCAAGGTACCCTTTGGGAATGTTCCTGCACAAAACTTCATATCTTTGTCGGAACTCTGAAAAATGAAGTCTGTTTGGAAAACCAGTGCGTGCAATCCTGATACCCTCCAAGACACCGTTGCAGCGCAATTGGTCGAGCACAAGTGGTGCACTGAGTTGCTTAGGTTTTTTCTTGTGGTTGGGTATGATACACCTCACAAAATGAGGATGTGTCGAATGCAGCTGGGCCATTAAGCTAGATAGCTGTTCTTTATGTCTTTGAGCGACGGTGCGAAAAAGGCCTTTCTTGACCCTGCTTCGGATGGCACCAGAGTCATCGCCTGCTTCAGAGCAATCACTGAAGAGATTTGCAACATGTGCATCGCTGGATGCAGCCAACAATCTTGTAATGTTATCATTCATTGGATCCTTGTTCTTCTCCAACCATCCTTCGGTAGAATATTCAACTTCGGCGGCATAGTGAGTGAGCATAAATCCTTGCCCAAGCCTAGAGGCACGATACTTGGGAGTTTTGCGATCCCAAAGAGAATGAAGCTTTTCCGTAAATGACTTGTCCGTGGCTTTTGGCATCACACAATCTTCATCGAGACACGAGAAAATACCAATGGGGTTGGGCAACTCAATCAGATCAATCGTAGGCTGGAGATCATGTCCAAAATCGATAAACTTCCACTCGATTTTCTCACGGGCGTATTCTTCTTGTTCAAGGACAAACATATGGTGGTTGAAAAATTGCTGGAGCTTCTCGTTCGTGTAGTTGATGCACAGTTGCTCAAAACTATTTTCTTCGAATATTTCGAATCCAGCAATATCAAGTACTCCGATAAAGTGAGAGTCATCGAGACCCATACCAGTCCTATCCAATTGGCGATTGATTCGGGTTACAAGATCACCAAAACCCCTCTCGTAGATACCCTTTGCCAACGAGTCTATTGCGAGTAGAACTTGTTCTGGCGTCTGCACCTTCTCGACCCATTCCCGTCCAGCTTTTACTCGAGGATGTAACAACCCTTTCAAAAAATGGCTCGAGCGGAATTCCAAGTAGCTTACACACTTTGTCAGCCTGTGCGCGGGCATCCGGAGCTAATCTAGCTTGATCGGCCGATCTACTCTCCTTCACGACAGTTATATTGCCCAGGTGGAGAACAGCAGCAACTGTTCGTAAGATAGATATTTGGTCGTTCTCGGAGAAGCCCATAACATCGAATGCCTCGACCAAAGTGTTCCACTCATCTCTGTCAGAGACACCAACAATGGTGTCATGACCATCCCGTGTATAAGCGAAATCCTCTACGTCTAATCCTTCGATGAGGAATTCGTTTTTCAATGTGCGATCAGCTCCCTTCAAAAGCTGATAGAAAACGTGATAATTCCGCTCATGAGCATTCAGCCTTACCACTCTTGATTTCTCAAAGAGATACCAATCTATGAAAGCACCGGCTATACTGCCATTGCGCGTAAACTCGATCCTGATGAATTTTCCGAAGCGGGAAGAATTATGATTCCTGACTGTCTGCGCATTCCCAAAGGCTTCCAGGATTGGGTTTGCCCGAAGAATCTGCTGCGAGAGGGTTGAATGTTGTACCTTGTTTTTTCACTGGTGATTCCGAGTTTGCAACTGCCGCCAGGTATTGAATGACTTTTTTGGTATTTTCCGTCTTTCCGGCTCCAGACTCTCCAGTTACAAGAATAGTTTGGTTTTCTCCTTCTTCAACTAGGTTTCTGAAAGCCTCATCTGCCGTTGCAAATATGTGTGGTTTACTCTCTTCCCGACCTCGTCCCTTGTATAAATTAATGTACTCATTCGTGTATATAGGTAATGAGCAATATGGATTAATAGTAACCAGGAACAAGCCTGAATAGGTGTAAATGAGATCAGCTTGGTATCTCATATGAAGATTATGGACGACTGATGCTTCATTGAGATGCGTAAGCTCTGCCATGTCATTTGCTTTGTCGAATTCGCAGGGTTTACTTTGTCAACAGTTTCAGGATCGACCTCTCGTTGCTAAATACCCAGTCAGACATTATACCGGAAGAGAAAACACATTCGTGAACTCACACTTCCATCGTCACATTGGACCAGTATATGATGATTTTCCAACTCCTCTACTACCCATCCTTTGACGATGCAGTTTGAGGATCTTTTAACCAAACATATCTCTTTCCGGAGAAATCATTCTCTCCTTCCATTGCCATCACAGTTTCTGCGCCGAGTCGCATCTCTTCCGAATTGATGAACGAAGGCGCAAATGTGTTTGAAGAGGGAGCAGTCGACTTAGAATTGGAGCGAAATCTTAGTGAAACATTATTATTATTGGGGGGCACGATATCTCCCAGCGAGGAGTAGGATTGGTGTCGATTGTGTGTTTGATGGCTTTGTGCCGGTGATGAGAAAGGAGCTGACGCAAATATTGCACTTTTCGGCCTGCCTTTGGGAACACCTGGTTCCGGGGATATAGTCCCTGACCTAGCAAAAGGATTGTTGCGCTTTATCTGAAAATTGGATGCCATCGTGGAGTAGGCGTTGTTGGGTTTCAATTGATTGAAGCAAGGCTATGTTCCTTAAGAAGTAAACAAAGTCCATCCATCCATGGGAAGATTTCAAACTGTCGCAAAGCAAAAATAGGGGAGAAAAGTTCATGCAACCTCTTCAATCATTACATGTGAAATCAGTAAAGATGGTAGCAAATAAAAAGATTCATTCTTCTGTTTCGCCTCTTTTAACTCTTGAATTGGATCGAGATTCTTGTCAACGTCAGTGTTTAAAGTCAATATTGACGACGCGAAGTAGGATTATTAAGTGGCGGTACAAAGTTTAATTTGGCTTTACTAGGTAGTTTGAATGGTAGAGTTTCCCCTGGCAACGCCGGTTGATCCAGTGCCGCTTCAGTCGTAGAATCATATCGATAAGAGAATTGACGGTTTGTCGTAGGGCAGCCACCGTGAGCCTTGCTGCGATCACCTCGTGACATTTACTCTAGTATGACACTGTCTTTGTCTAGTGACACTCTCACTCACTCTCATCAATATCGAGCGGGATTTACCGGCGCTAAGCAACTTTGAATCTTCGACTGGCGTTTGCTTTTGGTGCGATCGTACTAATAAGTTTCTTTTTCCCATTACCATCTGCACCTCCACCTCCACCTCCAACAAGCTTTCAGACAGATTCTACCCGGGTCTTCTTCATAGCCAGGTTTATCAAAATCGAGTCAACAAAATAAGTGAAGAAAGTGATAGTCTCACTTGCATTTTTCATTGTTCAATTTTGACAATCCTTTCTTCTGGCTCGTCGCGGCACCCTTTTCTCTGCGACTTCTGCATCTGTAATTACTTTCTCCCTTGATTTGATTGCGCTGCGCCAATGATTCTCGACCGTTGAATTAAACGCGTCTTCGAGGTAATTTTGCAATATCAGTCAGAACTAATCACAGTTAAAGTTTTGAATTATTTCAGTAAAGCTAGGTACTGCTTTGTACTTGCCGACCATGTCGGATTATCCATACTATGGCGCGGCCTATGGCAATCGCGACCAGTCGAACAACCCACCTTACCCAACCTATGCAAATCAGTCCGCATATTATCCACAAGATGATGGCCGATCAGGGCAGCACACGATGACTCAAGGATATGATAATGCAATGGCGTATGGCTATAATCAACAACAACTTCCCAACTACAGCGCGCCCGCTATGCAGAATAATTTACCCCCAGTCCCAGCGTTCCAGGGCTGGAACCAAGAAAACTCATCTATGCCCCAATACAATGCAGCGCCGCAAGGCATGCATTCTTATGCTGGGTACAACCATCAAAATTATGCTCAAAATTCGCACTACTATGCGCCAGTGGCTGCCCCGCAGCCAGCATATCATTCACAAACACCCGCGTATGGTAACGTTGAAAATCGCGAAATGAGCGAAGGAGAGTATGATGATACTTCTGCCCGCATGCACTCAGCAGCCCCAAATGCTTCGATTGGCGCACCGGGCTCGAGCCACTATCGCGGGAATGATAGCAATGGCTATCTTGATACTGCCCATCGCGCTGTCTATCCAACAGGCCAAGATCCTGCTCCTCAGCAGCCGCCACCGACTCTTCGCAATGGTAAGCAATCTCGATGTCTCATAAATTTGTTTATTAACGTCTCCCTGCAGCAGCCGATTACTATAATCAACGTCAACCTTCGGCCTCGTACTCCCCTTTCGTAGCCCAAAGTGAGCCAGTGTTTGACCAAAGCAAGAATTCTCAGATTAAGGATACAGGCGCAGGTAAGGGAGCATTGAACACAAAGAGGGGCGGTGGACAGAAAAAATCAAAGCCACAATCACCGGTAGGAGAGCCTAATAACACTGCATCCAAATCTGGCCAGGAAAATATTCCCTCTTTCACAAAAGGTCAGGTATCAGAGACTGTTGCAAGCTCTCGCCCTTCTGAAGTTGATGCACATAACGATACCGTTACTTTCAAAACTGTCGCTGAAGCTCGCAAAAAAGCTGAAGGCGCTATCCTGAATCTTTGGTCGTATGATGTTCGATTCCCAGCCTATCTTGAAGAAGGGGTTGATGAAAAACTTGTCGGAGAATTGTTTGATGAGCTTAGATTGTCGAAAACTGCAACGAAAACCATCAATGCAACCTCTGCCCAAAGTCCCTCCACCAGTGTTTCTTCTGCGCCTACGTCCGGCCTACCTGCCACTAGTGGACATCCGAATGGTCAGGTTTCAGCCCAAAATTCTACAGATAGATCTAAACAAGCTATAACTAATGGAGCAGGCACTGCTACTCCTGCAACTGCGCAACCGAAGAGTGCAGCCGCCGTTGAAAAAGAAAAAACAATGCAGGCGAAGATGGACGCTCTCAGGAAATCGAGAGCTGAGCGAGCACAGAAGAATGCGGCGAAGTCTGTCACAACTACCGCTACTAGTCTTCCAAGTCCGATTGCTCAAGCTAAACCAACCATAATTCCTGAATTGCCTACATCGGTTCCAAATTCTACTTCCTCTGCTGGCAAAGTCGTTGAAAAAAACAAGGTTGGTACTACAGATTCAAGTAGCTCAACTTCAATTCCAGCTTTGACTGTCACAACACAATTTCCCCAATCGAACGCACCACCTCCAAATATTCAACAGACCTCTCAAAAGATTCCGGGTTTGTTCTTAGCTTCTGCCCCACCCGCCCCATCATCTGTCCCACAAACTATCATGCCAACCCCGGTTCTCAATGGGCAACGCAAACGCCCAGTAGCTGCTGACTTTGACGGACCTTCGACATCCACAATACCACTCAAGCGACCATTTGGTCAAAGTCGTGTGGAACCAAAACCATTTGTCATTTGTGTCAGCGAGGATGAAGACGAGTCTGATGAAGATGTCGAAATGGAATTGGAATCTCAGGCTGATGCAGATTCGCCTGTTCAACCCCCTCGCAAGCTACCCGAACAAAAGGCATTGCCGACAGCATCTTCTTTTCTTCCACCAAAACCATTTACCCCACCTCCTGCATCGTCGACGAGCACCCCACCAAATTTACAAAGTTCTATTAAGCCACATCCTGAGGATCTTCGACGCAAGGAAAGCGAAATTGAGCAGTTGAAGAGAAAAATTGCTGAAGCTGAAATGAGGAAGGCAAACAAGAGAACCAGCAGCGGTGCACAAACTCCCATTAATAACGTCGCAGCTAGTACGAGCAACATAGGCCTTGTAGCTAATAAGCCAAATTCTTCAATCGAAATGCAGAAGGCAACCAATATTTCTAAGGATAAAACACAGTCTAATGCGGCTCAAGCTGCCGAGCTTCAAAAAGCCGCCGACATCCGAAAAGAAGAGGCCGAACTCAAACGACTCCGACGTGAAAGAATTGCGAGCGCCATCCCCCGTGTGGACGCTGAAGCTTTACAAAACCAAGCGAGACTTGAGGAACTTCGTGCCGAAACTGCCAGAATCGAAGCGGCGGTGCAAAAGAACCTCCAGGACAAACAAAAGCTGGTTGAGGAAATGGAAAGACTAGGCCAGGAAACCGATCAACAATTGAAGGAGCAAAAAGAAAAGTTGGACAGTCTCACACGTGAAGAGACAAAAGACAATCCAGGTAGGTGCAAAATTACTATTATCAGACTGCCCATAATAATAGAGGCTCACATTCCCACAGCTGAACCACCTCTAGCTTCTGCTCAGCCAGACTGTGAGCCAGAACCACAAAGTCTCGCAGAATCCGAGCCAAAATCTGCATCAGTTCCCATGGAGCTAGATGACCAAATCGATGATGCTCGCGATGAACTGCAGCAGCAGCAACAACAGCAACAACAGCAACAGCTACAGCCTGAGCAATCTCATACTACTGATGCCACTGCTGCCTCCCCAATTTCTATACCTCCGACCCAACTTGATAGTGTCAGCGATATGGCGCATAACACAACCGAAGACCATTCTTTTGAGGTCAAAGAAGCATCCGAAACCAACCAAGATCTTGAGGCTGCGCTTCAAGAAGCCGTGCGCGCGGATGCAGACTCTGCTGTTCCCAGTGACCTCGAAATGGAAGACAGCAATGCGCCTCCTACGCAAGTTAATGACGTAACTGCCACACCCGATGAAGAGAAAGCAGCCTCCGATTATTCGCCAGTCCTTGAGCGTTCTCAGCCACTTGCAACTTCATCAACCCCTAACATTCCTGACGTGGTAGATGCCTCGGAGATCGCTGATGTAGACTCGGATAACTATGAGCCCCCAGAGGCTACTCCTGCTGCTGATGAGACTTCGTCGGTGGCGTCATCTCCATTTAGCCCCGCTCCGCCAGATTCAGTTATTGATGCAGCAGAAGATGATGAATTGCCAGAGTTGTCAAACGGTAACTCAATCGATCTTGAAGTTATCTCTAATGGCGTAGAACAAAGTCTGCCGGCAGAAGATGGTAGTATCCCTCAACTAACAGAAGTAAAAGTCTTCTCCATTCTTGGTGGCAATTCCCAGGCTGACCCGAGCCCAGAAACCCCTTTCTAGCGGCCCTAATAGCTCAAGCTTTTTCACACCATATGAAAGCCCTTTGAGAATGTTTCATGCATTTCGGTTTCATCCAGAATATAAGCAACAAATTACGGGTGGGCTGAAGTCTATCACTTATACTAACAAGATTGATGCGAAGAAAGAACTGTGTCGATACGAATTGATGGGAGGAATATGCAATGACAATACTTGCGATTTTCAGCATTTTAGAGAAATGGGACTGCCTGGTGCGTCGGTAGTTCCAGCCAGCATGCTCTGAGCTCACCCTTGAGTATCCCTTTCGTCCCCTTTGCTAACTTTTATCCTAACAGATGATGCCGTTCTTGCGAAATTGGGATCCCCGGACGAGTTCGAAGGAGAACAACGAGATAGGTTTATTGAAGGTTTGAAATCACTACTCTCGGGCCTGCGAGCAAGAAAAATTAAAGACTTTGATGCCATTGCCTCGGAGATTGTTGCACATCGTGCCAAATTCTTGGGCGATTCATCAAAGGTACTCAGCCTCGAAGGCACGACACTTTAGACGACTTACCTACAGCGGCCTGGACCCTGAACTTGTAATTCTCTCAGCCCATTCCCCCCATCACATACTGTTGCCAGAGACCTGGTCAGGCTTGGTATTGATGCTAAATAATCTTTCCTTTTTGGTGTGAAGGCCGAAGATGGCCTATTCTCACTTTGTTGGACCATTTATTTTCAAAATCTTCTTTTTTCAGACCTGAAATATCAATGGACAACGACTTTGCATGGATGGAGTTGCATGGAAAAGCTGGTGTTTTTGTGGCATGTCTACGATACCCCGTCTGATGAAAAAAGGAGACCTGGGGGAGTGCATCCAGTGGGTGCAACCAGTGTGTATTCTGGAATAAAATTCCTTTAACACTGAATGATAAAAATCTGCGAAGTTTATCCTGCGTATTAGCTAGTCATTCATAGCATAATAGACTAATTTATTTTACTTTTCAATCAACCTGATTCCACTTTGCTGTTGGCTTCGGGATATCATGGCATCCCGAGGTCTGTGAAGTTGCTTGTTCAGTCTGACTACCTAATTAATCTCGACAGGATGGGATGTCTTGTTGAGTTTTTGTCAAAACACGTGACCACGCGAAAGAGATGAAATGCAATACCCCAGATACTAGAAGAACCCCACCCACCATAATGATCATCGCACACAACTACTGAAAGCGGCAATTCCGATACCAAATAATCACGACATCTCAGCCAGAACTTCATCATTGCGCTAAGTAGCAGTGAGCACCAAACTTTTTTCCATGCACCTAAAATGACAGGCCAAACTATAGAAATCAGCTTCCCGATATGATTGTCTGGGCCATGGCTTTCGTTTTATTGGCTTTGGGAACGAAAAAGACGATAAGGTTGGAGAGCCTATGAGTCAACAGGGGATTGAGGATCATGATGTAACATGTAGCTACGAGTATTTCGCAGTGGCTCGAAGTTGGGTGATTGCGTGCTACATCATTTGATATTATACATAGCGATCCCCTTGCAACTGGAACGGCTGTAAACCTCGGTTTATTATCTTGATAAGATATAAAAAAGATGGAAGTTATCCTGGTGATTGTGATGTGATGTGATTTGATCCATTTTCATGCAATCTTGATACTACTTGATTTTTTACATAAGACGAGGATGAAGATATAAGTAAGTATATTGACGTACCCCCATTCTCTATTGCTTTCGAAGGGTTTCTGTTTCTTTTTCATTCCTCGACGTCGAAGCGTTTTTTGTGCACATTGGACATACAATTGATCCATTGCAATTTTCATAATGTCGCACACGGCGCCACAACAGGCGCTGGATAATGAGAAACCCGCGGTGGAAACGGAAGGCATTGATGGGATTGGCAGAAATGAAAAAAGGAATGGAAATGAGAGCGAGGTTTCCGATGAATCGTTTGCGAATCCAACGGGGATAAATGAGAAGGCACTAGTCAGAAAGCTGGATTGGAAACTATTACCTGCGCTTACATTGCTTTATTTGTTGAGTTTTTTGGATAGGAGTAACAGTATGTTTTACTCCGTTTTCTCTTCTTTAATCTCCTCTCTTTCTTCGGAATCAGTGTGGAAGTGGGTTCAATTGAAGGTTGCGAATTGATGATTAGAACGATACTGACCAAAATCCAAACACACAGTCGGAAATGCGAAACTTGATGGATTAGCTACGAGTTTAAACATCACCGGGAACCAATATCTATTGACACTGACAATCTATTTCATCGGATACGTTCTCTTCGAAGTACCTTGCAACATCATACTTAAACGCACAACACCCAAAATATGGCTTCCAACACTCATGCTTCTATGGGGAATCGTCGCAACCTTGATGGGGGTTTCTACAAACTATGCGGGGTTTCTAGCTGCAAGATTTTTCTTGGGTGTTACAGAAAGCGGATTGTTTCCTGGTGTGGTATTTTATTTATCAATGTGGTATAAGAGGACGGAAACACATTATCGAGTTGCATTGTTCTTTTCTGCAGCTTCGTTGGCTGGTGCTTTTGGTGGAATCTTGGCTTATGGCATTGGGTTCATGGATGGAGTGGGAGGATTGAAGGGGTGGAGATGGATTTTTATTATTGTGAGTTTTCTAGAACTAAGTGTTGAATTAGATTGTGCTAACCAACGAACAGGAAGGGCTTCTGACTGTCGTTGTCTCTCTCTTAGCTTACTTTTTCATCCACAATTACCCCTCAACCGCACCATTCCTCACGGAACCAGAACGCTCTTTTATCCATGCGCGTCTCAAGTCTTCCACCGATGCAACCAATACTGAACCCTTTACTTGGGCCAACGTCCGCGCCGCTTTTGGAGATTACAAATGCTGGCTCTACAGTCTCGGTTTCCACACGATGTCTCTACCCCTCTACACCCTTTCTCTTTTTTTCCCTACCATCATCTCAGCCCTTGGCTACAAAGCGGCTACCGCACAACTTCTAACTGTCCCCCCTTACGCATTCGCCACAGTACTTACAGTGATCATCGCCATCCTTGCAGAAAAAACTCATAAACGCGCTCCTTTCATTCTCTTCTCCTCCTCATTTGCAATCATCGGCTATATTATCCTTCTTGCAACCCCACACAACAAACCCGGCATTTCCTATCTCGGAACCTTTTTTGCAGCCGGTGGAATTTACCCCAGTACCGCTATCGTGCTTTCCTGGCCCGCGGCAAACGTAAGCGGACAAACTAAACGGGCCACAGCGACTGCGATGACGATTACTATTGGAAATTTGGGGGCAGTTTTAGGAACGCAATTATATAGGCCGGCGACGAGTCCTAGATGGTTTTTAGGTCATGGATTTGCATTGGGGTATTTGGTCGCGAATTTGTTAGTTGTGGGGACGTTATGGATTTGTTTGGAAAATGAAAACAGAGAGAAAAAGAGGAGAGAAGAGAGTGGGGAGGTAGGAGATGAGGTTTTGAAAAATGATGAGGATGTTAGGTGGATTTTTCAGACTTGAGGACCTAATGATAGATTTGAGATGTCTACAATGGATACAACTGCCTGAGAGAAAGAGTCAATCCTCACGGCATATCCCGATTACTGGTATTTACAATATGGGCTGTGTAAGAATCAGAGTCACTTGGAAATGTAGAGATTTGGAGATGGCCAGAGAAATTGTTTAGGTCAAAAGAAAACTAGGGATCAGACAACACACACTTCGTCATCCTTTCCAGTGTTATGGAAACCCAGGCTTAGATTCACGAAAGATTAGGACGCTTGAAGTTGGACTATTGTTGCTGCATAGATCTCGGATGTGGATGCTTTGTGTCCCGAGCCGGAGGAATACCATGCCGATTCTGTCTGAGAATTTTGGTAATTTTGGTATTGATATTCAAGTATACAGCTCTGTAGAGGCGGTTTGATGTTCACCCGATCGCAACTTGCTTGGGTCTACCGGCCATTCGTATCACCGACGCCGACAACGAACGATATATTTAACTTTCGGGATCTCTTGATTATTGCACTATTGAGCTTAGCATCTAAAGATCAAATTCTTATCAAGTTGTCAATAACACACTTGCTTTTTGCTTACTATTTTCATTCGCTGTAACCTTTCAATAATTAGACTTGAAGCTTCAAAAGTCGTCAAACCTGAATCACCTCGATTGATTCAAATTTTCTAAGTAGAGTGACTGACTGAAGTTTTCGATAATGTCATTTATACACCTTATATAATACACTATTTCACTCGCTTGGAATCTATTCCAGGGGCTATTTCTAAATGCCGTCGTTGCCAGCCTCGGTAAATTTCCTAATTGTGGGGTAATCGCACGGTTTGTTCTACATTTTGGAGTATTATCCTCCTCGACACGCTTGAAATTCCTTGCACAACCACAAAAATCAGTTTTCTGGGTTGCACTGGGTATTCTGAAGTTCAGAGATCTGAATGTCGTGGAAAAGGGGGAGTAAGTCATCTAAGTTGGACTGAATATCAAATTAGTGCTCTAGATATATGCAAGGGGTTGAAAGTATCCCACTACTTGAACTGCAGGGCGGACCAAAGGGTTTACGCACCCTGGTAAGTCTCTTGGATTTTTTCTTGATTAGATCAAAGATGCATGGTAGTCCGTGGAACATGTAGCCCCGTGAGCTATCTGTACAAGAAAAGTTAGGGTTAGAAAGGCCAAGAAGCTGGCACACTGGGCTTGTACTGAACGGAACACGGAATAATTTCCAAAGACAACTATCATTCTGATATAAGTTGATATGATCATCTTTTCAAAACTCCCCCTTTCATTTCTCTTCATCAATCTTCAAACGCTTCCACAAAGCGAAGTACACGTCACTTTTCAACATGACTACCGCTCCTGATTCTAACAATGATTTTAAATTTGCTAGACGGGGTCTGATACGAGCGATAGAAGATCGTCACATCTATTCAGATCCTAATCCAAATGATGAGCAGCAAAACATTGTCTGGGACACTAAAGCATATGATTTCCTTGCGGGAGAATGCCCCGATACAGCCAAAGCAGCACTTTGGAGGCAAGGACAGTTGTGCAATGCAACAGCAGGCCTTTATCTTGTCACTGAAGGTGTCTATCAGATTCGTGGACTTGATCTCGCCAATATGTCTATTGTGAGAATCCCGGGCACAAATGGTATCATCATAATCGACTGCTTGACCTCTGTTGAGACTGCCCGCAAAGCTATTGAGCTTTACCAGCAATGGCATGTAGAGAAAAATGGCCAAGAAGCAGAAATTAAGGCCCTCTTCTACACCCATTGTGATGTAGATCATTTTGGTGGAGCGGCTGCTATCGTTCTTAAGGCGAAGGAACAAGGTCAGACTATTCGGATTTTCGGTCCTCAGGGCTTCCTCGAGCATGCTGTTAGTGAGAATGTGTACGCCGGAGCAGCAATATCTCGTCGATCAATCTATTTGTACGGTATGAAATTATCTAAATCTCCCGCTGGACAAATTGGCTGTGGACTTGGACAGTGCACATCTACCGGGAAAATCTCACTCGTGGCACCAATTCACTACATCACCCAGAATGGCGATCTTGTAGATGGTATCGAAGGCCTACAGATCATATGCCAATTGACTCCAGGAACGGAAGCTCCAGCCGAAGTAAACTATTATCTTCCCGACTATAAGGCGTTGTGTGCGGCGGAAAATGCCACGCATACTCTACACAATATTCAGACTCTCCGAGGAGCTCCAGTGCGCGATGCCCGACTTTGGTCGCGATACCTGGATGAGTCGATTACTCTATTTGGCAATAAGACAGATGTGGTATTTGCTGGTCACCATTGGCCAACCTGGAATGACAATGAAAATTTAGTCCTACAATTTTTATCAGAGCAACGTGATTACTACGCCTATCTTCATAATGAATCGCTTCGACAGATCAATGATGGACAAACCCCTTTGGAGATTGCAGAGAACATTCAGATGCCTCCCAACTTGAGTGCGAAGACGCATCTTCAAGGCCATTATGGTTCAATAAGCCACAATGTAAAAGGTGTATATGACAAATACATGGGTTGGTTCAATGGGAATCCAGCTTATCTCTGGCCACTCCAACCCACAGACGAGGCAGCCGAGTTTGTCAAATATATGGGTGGAAATCAAGCCGTTCTTGACATGGCCAACGAATATATCATGAATAAAAATCTTCGATTCGCAGCTACGCTTTTGGATAAACTCGTGTTCAAAACTCAAGGTTCGGCTGAAAAAGATAGTGATATTGCGAAGCAAGCAATGTTAACCCTAGATTCTGTATACAATACTCTTAGATGGGGCTCAGAAAATGCCACCTGGCGTAATTTCTATTTGACGGGCGCTCGTGAATTGCAGTTTGGGCCTCAGAAAGTAGATCTTTCCATGTCACCTGAAGCATTGCTGACATTGAGTTTCGACGAGCTATTCGACACAATCGCTATCAAAATTGAAGGACCCGCCGCTTTCACGAAACCAGAGGTGTATTTAATGAAAGAAATTACCATCGATTTCATGGTTTCCGGTATCCAGCTAAATAATAAGCCGAGCGCTGGTTGGCACTTGAGATTGAGCAATGCTGCCATGACGGGCCATGCCATTCCATACGTAGCTTCTTCGGAGAAGCCAAATCCGGGGAGTGATTTGACTATTTGGTTAGATCATGTGAATCTTGCAAGATTAATTGGAGCCACGGCTCTGGGGAGAAGTCCAGTTATCGTGAATAATCCATATATCGCCCTCACTACTGCTGGAGACGTAGATGCGTTGACTAAGATCACAGCCTTGATCAGATTACCGAGTGCTGATTTCAATATTGTTACGCCTTGAGTATCGACTGTTCTTCCGGCTTCTTCAACACTTGCCAATACAAGGTTGCTATTTTTCGACTATGATGGAAATGTGGAAGGAGAGAGAAACGGTCTATGTAATGAATTTGTGAAATAATGACGAGGATATTGAAGTGGGCTATCACCAAGAGAGATAGCTAGTTCACGAAGTTTTCTTGATATAAGTCCTGATTTATCTTTGTATCTGTTCCTGCGTGTGAGATTTACTGATAAAATCTCCACGAAAATAATCTGGACTTCAAGCATCGGGACGGACTCGTCTAGTTATCTCTCCTCGCTAATCCCCTGTTGCAACATCGACATCAAGCAGATAGAAAATTCCAGCGTCCTCCTATACAGTTAGATTTTTTAAAGAAGGCATTCAAATCAACACCATCCGAAACCCCTACAAGTGACCAACTTCCCGGTCCTATAGAAACATCGTCTATCTCCACATTCATCTCGTTAGTATTCTTAAGTCCGTGAACGCCAACGACCGCTTTAGCGTTGGAAGCTTGCGTCACTTTACCAATTTTAATCCGGCGGGAAGCAACTTCTACTAGTGCTGTTTTCCATGATTTCTCGAAAGTATCCATAATTTCTTCTGGAGACGGCTGCGGTAAAGATTGTGATGCTTCATTAGTTGTTGAATCAGACATAGCCTGGCTTACTTCTCCACCTGACAAGTGTGATAAGACTTGACTTTCATCTTCATCTGATATAGACACTTCTTCAATTGTAACTCTTTGTAACTGATACTCAAGGTTGTCAATGCGATCTCTAGCAACAAGACCCGCTTGGTTTATCCTTTTGTTGGTATCGTCTAGTCTTTCGATAACTGATTCAGTTTTATCAGTTTGTCGTAAAGCGACCGAGCTGGAATTCACAGAATTAGGTTGCAGTCAATACAGACAAGCTAGAGATATCAATGTTCTTTGCTTACAGTGTAGCCATTTGCAGTGCAATTGTGAACGTCCCTTTGCAAGCCACCAATTGTCTGTTGAACTCCAGAAGCTCCTTCTCAGCCAGAAATCCAACCCTGAATCTATCTCTCCAATCCATTTTATTGTTCGAGGGGTGTCTTATCCACTTGACCAATTTTTTTTTCGAAATGCCGTACATATCCTGTTGCAATTTTTAGCTGCGGCCTTGAAATTGTCATTGTCAATCTCGCTCGGAACTCCTTGGGCTTGGTCGCTTCTTCTCGCAGTGACATCTAGGGATGAAAGTACACCGACAACAGAATTGAGATCATCGACAACAGGCTTGATGGTCTCCCCCGCATTTTTTACAGCACTGAAATCATCGTGCAGGAGCCTGGCACTATGGAAAGCAGCAACGATAATACCAACAACTGCGCTTCCAGTAGCAAGGACGTCTGCCATTGTTTGACACTTGATAATTTAAGAGATTTTCAATGCAAATTGAATAAATGGAATGAATTGTGAATGCGCATGATGTACAAGTAATATTCAGATAGCGGCTGAGATAGCTGTATACAGGGGTTTTGCGGAATCGCCACTGCAGCCTATCGCACATGATTTAGGCTGGCAGCATGGCGTTCTGAGCTATATTTAGAAACTCCAGAGCCTCGATCATAGGATAAAGTCTATGTTTAATCCCAAAGACACATTTGACAGAATTTGCTAGAGACTCACGTAAATAGACGTCGACGTCGCCATGGACTCTCATGGGGTATTGCCGAATGGACTCATGAATTATGGACAAACCAGATCCCACGAGCGACATAACATCACACAAGATATAAGCCACATCAAGGCTGAGGCAGGCTCCCGACTCTTCGTCGGAACGAACATAACATATGAAGGAGCAGGTAACTATCCCCGAGCTCAAATATTGATATGTCCAGAATTGCTGACGTTCGATTGCCAGCGCCGAAGAAAGATGAGATCTTAAACTGGCTCGATCCAGAAAATCTAAGAATCTCTCAATACAAAGAGCATACTAGGCATAGGGAAGACCGAGCAGACGACACCGGAGAAGATTTTCTTAACGGAGATTTCAAACAATGGGTGTCCTCAAACAAGAAATTTCTATGGTTGAGAGGAGAAGGTGCGTCCACCCGATTTTGTAAACAAATCCTAGATATTCAAAGTTCATCTCAGTCATTCGATCCGGTTCTGATCATTGAAGAGGATACGAAGTACTGATTATAATAAATAGTTGGGTCCGGAAAAACTATGATATGGTGATTACTTACATTTGATATCTCAAAGCAGGAGAAAATACTAACGACTGTAGCTCGCATCTCATTGAAAATATTCCGAACATCTTAAGGATTACTTCTCCAGAAGTCACTTCCAACAGTAGTCATTTAGTCGCCTTTTATTACTGCTCATTCAGCGACAATTCTACCTTCGATGTTAGCAATTTTCAAAGATCAATAATCGCACAACTTTGCGACAAGTATGGTCTTCTGCCTGAATTGAAAGAGCTATATGAGAAGTGTAAGCCGTATCCGCCTTCGACAGTCCAGCTAACAGCATTGATTCTGTCAATTATTAGCTCACTCCAAGGCTCCTCGGCCACATTCACAAACTCAGAACAAACTGAAGCCTGTCGGAGTATTACTTTGGTCATTGATGGATTGGATGAGGTCCCCCCTGGGAAACAACGGGATGATTATCTTCGGGTGATTGAGAAGTTGTCATCGATCCAAAATCCGAACTTTAGAATTGTGATCGTGAGCCGCGAGGAAGGTGATTTAAAAGCATCCTTCCCAAAAAATTACGGATGGAGATGGCTCATACGAGGCACTGCACACGTAACTCTTGACATTAAACAATTTGTTCAGGCACGAATCTCCAATCATAGGAGACTTAACTCTCAATCTACAGAGATCAAGACTCTGATTTCTCGAAGACTTAGTCAAGGCTCTGAGGGAATGTAAGATTTCGTTCGTCGGTGCTATTCTCCTATAACTGTATTAACAGGCACAGGTTTCGACTTGCGGCACTTCAGATGAAGGAACTCGAGTATCTTACTCGGAACTTGAGAGTGATCAAAAGGGCAGACCTTGAAAATATCTTTCTTTCATTGCCTAGAGACCTGGATACCTTTTACGATTTGATAATAAGTCGTATACCAAAGAGCTTGTTATCAGAACTCGAGACGGTGTTGAAATGGCTCATCTTTGCAGCTCGGCCACTATTTGTTGAGGAAATCGTGGAAGTCTGCACGATTCGACTGCCTTTAAACCAACCACCTGATGTCGGAAGTCGCCGTCATGCTCTAGATATTGTGGAGAACCTTCTAGGCCTGGTAAAATTGGAGCCAGCGCTAGCAGATGATGTGGAGGTTGTGCCTCGAGGAGTTCATATACTTAGCATTGCTCACTTCTCGGTCCAAGAATATCTGTGCCCAACTCACGATATCAATCGCCCCCCTGGACTAATTCGCTTCACGGATATATACAAGGAGCATCGAACAATAGCACAAGCCTGTCTCGCTTATCTCCTCCATTGCTCCAAGAACAAAGATGGCCGCACAGCTGCTTTTTGTCTACGAGAGTATTGTTGGTATTCTTGGTCCAAGCATATCACCATAATCACAAACTCTCGTGATGTAAAAGCGCGGACTACGCTGGATTCTTTACGATTACACAATAGCATCATGATCCCCATTCTTTATATGCGATCCCCAGAGATTGTATCTATAGAGGCTGCGCGCTTGAGAAGCTTTGCGGCGACATTCACTCCAGAATTGTACACAGAACTTCTGGCTACCATTCAAGATTTAGAGTTCCCATTTGACGACACTACTGGATCGGGGAGGGAAAGAGATTTCCATGAAACGCATTACAAGACCATTCCAGGACATTTTCCGGGTGTTACTAGGCTTGTAATTTTGTATCCATCCAAATATCCAGACTCGCCTATCAGGCTTAGTATATGTATTGATTCGCTTGATACCAATCTAGATTATACTGCTTTATCATATATATGGGGTTCACCTTACCATGAGGCGAGAGGATACGTCAACGGGTTTTCTATGGGTTTGACCCCTAATCAGCACTCTGCTTTAGTGCATTTGAGACAAAAAACTGAGCCGCGCATACTCTGGATAGATCAAATCTGTATCAACCAGAGAAATATCGAGGAGAAGATCTACCAGACAGCTTTGATGGGGCGAATCTATAGCCAGGCGCAAGAAGTCATAGCGTGGCTTGGGGAATCGGAAAAAGATTCTGAAAGTATAGCCAGCGAAGCTAAAGCTATGAGCTTGCTGAAAATGGAAACTTCATTTGACAGTGACCTAAATTCTTATAGGGATACTTGGGGGCCAGTAGATGCATTGTTCAGTCGAAACATATGGTCGAGAATATGGGTGATAAGAGAACTTGTTGTTGCGGCAAAATTGACAGTGATGTGTGGCCAATACGCTTCGTCATTTGACAATTGGCATGACTTGCGAGAGTTGCGTCGCGAAAAGCTAAGCTTAGAACGCCGACTACCTCGTCTCGTGTCATACGAGAATTTTAAAGCAGACGAAGCCGCGTGGGATGCCGTAATCGCCCTTCAAACCCTTCGAGGTCGGTATAGAAAAAATGATAGGATGGAACTCGAACTTGCGACCTTACTTTTTTTCTCTAGAAGGTATATTTCATCCGACTATCGAGATAAACTATATGCGCTCTTAGGTTTACTGGGCGATAAAGAGCGATCAGATCTTCTCTTGCAGCAGGATTATAGTCTTTCTCCAGCGGAGATGGGCAAAAAACTAACAGTTTATGTTTTAAAAAAGTATCGAAATCTCACTGTACTCGAGAGTGCCTTTTCAGCCGATAATTCTGAGAATCTGTCATCATGGACCCTAGATTTATATGCGCTTCGTCGACCAATCGCCCTTGAGTCTAGTGATGCCATACAGCAAAGCACACTGCAGGACCCACACGATGCATCACAAGCATATAATGCTGGAGGCAAGTATATTCTGGACGACCACCCATTTACGTTCTCTAGCGACCTCAGGATTTTGAAAGTATGGGGTGTTGTCATAGACTCCGTCATAGATTGCGACCTAGGACTGTGGCTTTCTGAAAATATATATTGGGAAAGCTCGAGGGGAAAAACTGTAGCATTTAATTGCCGACGATTCGTTAATTGTCTTGGCCCGGGGAGTGTTAGAAATGGTGATCTACTGGTCGTGTTATTTGGCAGCACTGTGCCTTTTTTGCTTCGGGAAATCCAAGTTGATTGTGTAGAAGCTGAACCTGGACCACCAGGAGAAAGGTACAAGCTTGTTGGAGATTGGTGAGATTTGTCCTTTTTGATCCAAAGACAGAAAAATTAACATTTAATGTTAGTTACGCTGAAGGTATCATGGAGGGTGAAATTCTGGAAGCATATCAAGCCGGTGACAACGAGGGGCAGGAGTTCTGGCTTGAGTAGATTAAGTATGGATGCACGCAAAACATTTCGACAATGGCAAGCGCAAGCTGGATGTTTAGAAGTGATATATACATGAGACTTTCGCACTAAATAAGAAAATGAATAAGAAAGTCAAGATTGTTAGGAGTGGAAGATATATGTTGTTGATGAGGTTAAAGAGAAATCTATGGCAACATGATGGAGGAATTGGTCAGAGGGTACGCTAGAGAGGCTAGCAAACTAGCGTAATTTGCACGTGCTCCTTACAAAAATATAACACTCCAGTTGGCACTTGAGAAGGAGTTGAATGGTGAAGGCTAGCTGGCAAAATAATGTTGGGACTACCAGAGTTTGAACGGGTGATCTCCCATTTGATTGGTCTGGGAGACTTCGGAAGAGTTGGACGAAAATAGTCAGTATGCACACGTTGAATGTCTACTAATGCAATACATGAAGTCGGTGGAATGTCGATTAGTTGTAATATCAGCAAGGTGAAACTGGGAGCTGGGATGATCGGGGTAGGGAGATTTCGTTGAAATGCGGATGTTCAGTTGAAGCGGACAGTACCTATCTGCATGTACTCGGATGTGGAAAGAAGAGTCAACAAATGTTTTGGAAAGCAGATCACCAGTTTCATTGCATTATGGAGACTTCGGATATTAAATGAGAATGTTATTGTATTTTTCTTTATTGGACTTAAACATCCCTCAGGATATCAAAGCCAATGCGCTGATACACAATTTAAGGAGTTCTTGATCAGAATATCCCACGAAACGAATATTGTCTATCCCGTAAGTCCAGACCATCTTCACCATATTGTGTACCATACTCCTACCCATGGATCAATTACCTTTCTTAGGTTCCCATGTCATACGATCATACTGGCACATTGTTTGGTCCCCTTCTCCCCAAAACTTGTTACCACCTGCAATACTAAGATCATCACTGATTTTCCAACTAGATTATCGATACGTTAGTCCCGAATCGTGAATATAGGGATCAAAGAGCTTACCTGTCACTGCACCACGAAGAGTCAGTTGTTCGAGAAGTGATGATAACATTCTCCCAGACAATTGGTCCAACATCCCAAACAGCGCCAGCACTTGGACGGAAGTAAAGTCTGACCTGTGGTATTAAGTTAGTAGCTGGTCATCTGAAGAAAACAGGATCTAATCAAACTTACAACGTTCAACTTTCCAGCAGTGGGAACCTCTTGTGCTGTTTACAAATTAGTACTGCTAGCAAACCTTTCAAGGACACTTACGAATATTTACTACGTCAATCTTTGTTCTTGTCTTCTGACCGGCGTTGATGCTTTGGGAACCAGGTACGATAGTGACATTGTTGATAGTAGCATGAGTTCCAGTGTTGTACTCAAAAGTATTGTAAATCTTATCGCCTGGCAAAATGTTGTTGTCTGTGGCAATACCACCATTGCCACTATGAAGCTACCAGTTAGCTTCCTAATGTCATTTGCAATGTCAGAAATACATACTGCATCATATCCACTTCCCATTTACCGGGGTTATGATCGCTGAGACGATTCTCATGAGCATAACTGTGAGTTTGATTGGTGCAACCTGCTCCGATTTTGTGTATGCCGACTTTAGAGAATGGAGGGACAGTGAGTGTGGCCTCAAACTAGGTTTGTTAGCTAGCTCAAATGATAAATGAGCTAGGTTTTAGCTTACCTTTGTGATATCAACATCAGCATGAGGACCAATTGTAAATTCGTAGCCTTGGACATTAACCAAAACGTTGATGAGAATGAAGCACAAGGCGACGAAGAATTTGACTTGGAAAGCCATTGCTGTTGTTTTAAGATAGAATGAATTGTGTGTTTGGAGTCTTTGAATGTTTGTTTGAAATCTTCGAATGTTTGTGTATTGTAAAGAGTTGATTTAAGTTATTCTAGACTGAGAAGAAGGGCGACTTTAAAGGAAAGGAGGAAGAATACAAATGCAAAGTTCCTCGCTAAAGGCGCGCTAGTAGTGTTCACTTGTTGCTTGTATTGCAGTTACATAAGTGGTATGACCGTTTAGGTGAATAACAGGTTGTAGCCAGTCAAAGTTCTATGTGAATTTAGTACCATCACCAGTAGCCATATTCTCTGCCTACACATATCTAACAGTTTCCAATCCAAGCTCGGTTTCAAATCACATTACAGGTATGATGACAACCATTGTGATGGAAATTTTTGAAATTGTGGGTCAAAACGCATTCAATAATTTCTAATGGAGTAGATCTGACAAAGAACTCTCAAAAAATGCCCTTAATTGATCTTTTATTTTTGAGGTGATCTCAAACCAGTGAATCAAATTCAAGCACAGTGATTTGAAGGAATGGAGCAACAATACAAATGTTCAACTATGTAACTAGTACGGTAGGCTTTAATCGGCTACTTCCGGATTATCAAGTTGGAAATACCTAGGTAGCATTATCAGCGCCTAGTTCTGTAGGGAGAAGTTGAGTATGAAGGACATATTTGAAATGCATGCGATGTCGCGGATAGTCACTTAAATGAGCGAGCTATAGACCGCTGGCTCAAACGTTACAATATTTCATAGTCTAACTCGCCACTGGGATATTAGACCAGAATTCATATTGCAATTGACATACTTATACATTAATTGAGTTGGGTATATGCTAAATATAATGCTCTTTTATCTCAATATTCGACCATCAAAACCTTCTTCAAAGATCCCATTTCCTTTTCCCAAGCTTCAACCTTTCTTTGACTCGCCGCTAATTTGTCCAATATATATTGGATACGAGGACCAACCTCATGAGGCTGCTTAGGTAAAGTACCGAGCATGACTAATTCATTCTCATACTTATCAATACTCTTCGTTTCAATCTTAGTTAGCTCGGTAAGAACTGCCAAATCAAGTCTGCTTCGTAAAACACGATCTTCGCTTAACATCTTGAAGGCAGCTTGATATACTGGCTTCCCAGCTTTGATACTTTGTGGACGACCTTTGAAGGTCTTGATCGTGATCAATTCCGCTGCGGAGAGTGCTTCGAGAACATTTTCTCCGTTCGATGCCGATGATGTAAGGGATGATTTAAATGTATCAGAGAGTAAGACCTGGTTATATCGTAGAGTATCGTTCTCAGCAAGAGAGTTGACCAGGTACCATGCTTGTTCGACTGACCATTTCCGATCTCCCTTCTCAGCAGATAATAGATACATTTTCATGATCTCTGAAGCGCTTTGCTCGACAATCTCAGCCACGGCGCGTTTCGGAGTTTGTCCAGTTTTCAATCGACGTGCCAAGAATTCTAGATCGGTCAATCGGCCACCTAGGACTTCGATGCACTCATCCAGTTCTGAAAGATCTTCTCGACGTTGAGATTCCGAAAGCTTCTCCGTCTTGTCTTTAGGGTTTTCTGGATCGTTTTCTAAATGACTGATGACGAATTTCTTGGCTACTTGAGGTGTGATATCACCAAGCGCTATCTGCCTGAAAACTCGATCTGGAAGCGCTTTACTCAAGGACTTAGAGTAAGAGATATCGTTTGTTAAGAAAATGACATGAGCAATATTAGAAGTAGTGAGACCAGCTGCCCATTCCGAGATCTTGTCGTAAACGATGCTACTGTCTTCATTCTTGTGTAGAAAATTGTCAATGACGACCACAGGCCTGTGCTCTGGATGTGCTTCAAGCCAATCATCGTCAGCCAAATTAGCGTCCTTGTCATCTTTCTTTCGGTTTTGTAAAGCCACCTGTTTTAGAGCAGTTGCAGTGTTTTGCCAAATTTTGGCAAGCTGTGAGTCCAAGGTTTCTGAAAATCCAGATTTAACGCCAATTGTACCCTGTGCAGCCAAATCGATCAAACTGCTGAAACTGTTCATCCAGGAGAAGACCGGACGATATCCAACGGTGGCAGCAGCTGCCGCAATGGTGGCCGAGTCGCCCCTTGCTTCCTGAATAGGTTTGCAATCTATAAGTAAGGTATTTGGTCGACCTTTAAGCGCTTGATCAATGATTAGCTCTTTCTTGCCTGATCCTCTTGGACCTTGTACAACGATAAAAGTATCGGCAGTCTCCATAAGCCAAGTTTGTAAATCTTCAATAGCTTGCTTTCTATCATCCCAAATGGCACTAAGGCTTGCTTCTTCTGCTTTGTGCACACGGAAAGAGAAAACGTCCTTTGCTTGACTTGCGAACCATGCATAGATCTTATTGTCCTTCAGACTGAAAGCATGATCGATATGTGCCTTGATGAAAAAGGTTCGAATTGGATCAAAGACCGCGACGGTTACAGTAGCAAGAATTGCGGCTACAGCTGGAATAACGACACGTGGGTGACTGGTAAGCCATTCTCTTACATGATGGGCTTGCATCTTAGCCTCAAATGACAGTCGAAGTATGGTGCCAGACTTTCCACCACCCAGTTCCTCAGTGACTTTTAAGCCATGTAAGCAATTTCTAGCCATGATCGAGTGCCTTATATTAGCAAAATCAAGCATAGCAAACTTTGGTAGAACTTTGGAATCCGAAGGCTGCGAAGAGATCTCTGCAATTTTTCCATATTTCCGGAACAAGCTGTAAATAACCTCTTGTGAAAGTTCGGCTACTTCGCCGCCAGGGGTAGAAGGCACAAATTCAACACGGATTCGAGTGCTTGGGAATCTGTACAAATCCTCGAGCCAAGGTTTTCCACGTACAAGTTTTGCCCGCATTTGTCGAAAGGGGTTGAACCAAGGCTTGATTGGCTTCTCCTTCAGATATCCTGAGATAAGCCCTTCTATCTCCTGAGCCGTTATGCTGCGATCGTGTGAGAACTTGATGAATGCGCCCCCCTCTTTAAGTCGAGGTAGAATCTCGGTTACTTTTAAGGGGACGCTGGAGGGTATCGCACGCTCCACTAAGCTCAGAGGATCGTATTTGGAAAATACTTTATTATTGAACCGATAAAGAATGTCTGGTAGAGCAGAATCCATTCTTCCATACCAAGATATTCGAAGAAGCCATCCGAGCTTTATTGGAAAAATGTCTTTGGAAAAGTACATCAGCAAGCTGTTTTGAACTTATGAACCCATCAAGAAGTATGAGAACTCACTATCCAAGAATAGGATACCCTCATTAGTTCCAGCAGTAATATGCCCACTTTCATTCTCCCCAATCTGCGTACTCTCTCTCCTCACACCTTTTATGCCCTTCGATCTATCATACTTCAGTCCTTTCAGGCCGACTCTAGCAAAATTCCCGGCATTGCCAAAAGCACGCGTTTGAGGCATAGGAGGGCGCGGGGTACGTAACGCCGGCACGCTCGTAGGGTTGAACAAGATGCGCCTGTTCATAGTTGCGCCTACCTCTGAAAGTATACCTTCATGATTTGTCGTACCATTTATTTAGGGACAGAACTCGAAAGAAAGAAACGAAATTCCCTCGAGCGTTAGTTGGAAGAAGGCTCAAACCAAGCCAAACAAAAGACGGGAAGCAGTGTCGCCATACCTCGAAAAGAACTGACAGCCTTGTCACGTGAAAATCGGTAGGAATTTCCCCGCGTGTTTGAATTTTGTTTTCAAGATCCACAAGCTTCAGCCTCGTAGTCCTCAAAAGACAAATTTCCAACGACAACAACCTACAGAATGGGCTGGTTTTCATCTTCTGCTCCCTCTGCGGAGAAATCAGCTTCCTCAAATTCAAACGATCCAGTCTCATCTCCCCAATCTTCCACCCCCAAACCGCAAACGAAAACTCTCTCTCGCGATGAAATTGCAGAACAAGAACTGAATTCCTTTCTCCAGGAATTGGAGGCCGACACCCATCCTTCTAGTACAAAATATAACCGCGTACCCCGGATACCTCCACCAGAGCCTTCCCATTCTCAACCCTCTACTCAAGCCCCTCCTCAAAGTGATTCTTCGGAACCGCTCTCTATCCAACTCCTTCCCACAACCATGTCCTGTCGCACAGCCTTCGATGCAGCATTCTATTGCCAGTCTTTCGGCGGCCAGTTCAATAATTTATATCGATATGGCTCTGCACGAGATTGTAGTGAGTCATGGTCTGACTTCTGGTTTTGTATGAAAACGAGAACATATGCCGATAATGAGAAGGCTAAACTGATTAAGGCACGATGGATTGAGAAGGAGAAGAAAAAATATGGAGATCCGAGTGATAAAAATAGGGAGTTGGGGAAGAGCAGTGAGGATGTCTGGAAGGGAAGAGAGCAGAGATTAGAATGGGGAGAAGCATTTTGTGTGGAAGAACCCAAATGGACAGGAAGTGATGATGAATGGAGGAGGATGGAGAAAGAACATAGAGAGGCACAAAAAAGTGATCTGTGAAATGAGCTCAACATACAAGTATTGCATTATTTGGATCAGACATATGTAATGTCTTCATGTATAACAGGATGGGAATTAATTCGGAAAGAAAGCTTATGGTTTTTATGAAGGCGTTGAATGTTTTAAATAGTGAGTCACAAACTATCTTAATGTTCTAGTAGTACCTAGATAACTGTCCATATAACCTCCGAATTCCTGGAATAGCCGTGGACAGCTGCGCCAATCCTTTATCGAACCTAGCCAATCCCCCTGTGTCGCCTTATTCTTTCCAATCTTCGAACCAGAGTAATATATACAATCGTGTGCCCCGTGATAATCATGCCTAAAATGCGCCTTGCCCAAGCCAAAGTATTCCCCCTTCTGCACCTAACTCAAACTCCTTGATTAGGTCAAATGCGAATTTACCCATAATATTACACTTGTATAATACACCTCCTACATGCCTGGTTGTCTTCCCATACCCATACCATTTTGCATCTGCATACCTGGAGGGAAACCTTGCTGCCCGCCTGCTTGCATCTTCGCTTTAAAGTTTTGGAGTACTATGTTCTGGGCTTGCATTTGTAATTTCTTCTTCAGAAGGTCTGATAGGCCTTGAGGATGTGCGCCAGATGCCATCTCTCTACTGTAAAGTTGCTTATATACAGCGGCCATCTGCTGATGTGTTTGCATCGGGTTGGCGTGCATATATTGTTGTGCCATGGCGGTCTGTGGATTCATTGGTTGCTGCTGTTGGGGGTGTTGTTGTTGCTGCTGCTGTTGCTGCATTTGTAATTGTTGTTGTTGTTGCTGCTGTTGTTGCATTTGCTGCTGTAATGCCATGCCCTGCATATTTTGCATGTTCATATTATTTCCCATGAATTGTTGATTCATGTTCATATTCTGAGGCATACCAGCTTGTCGCATAGCAGCTAATTGGTTTTGATAACCTTGAGCTAATTGATGGTTTGGGTTATTAGCATTCGCTTGCATCTGCATTTGCCTCATTTGTTGGTGCTGCATTATTTGATGAGGAGTCAATTGCTGTCCATTAGGCATTACTCTCATATTTTGAGCTTGCATCTGCTGCTGTTGTTGAGCTCGTAACGCCATCAAATATTGTTGCGTTTCGACGGGCGACATGCTATTTATACCTTGAACATGCATTTGAGCCGAGTTCATTCCAATCTGGCCCATTCCAGGTGCTTGGGCCATCACGCCTTGCAGTGGGCTCCCTTGGCTCATCCTTGGTGTGAGTCCTCGGTTCAAAGGAGTGGATTGCATGTTAGGAGTCGCATTATGCATACGAGGTGTTCCTGCATGGCTTTGCTGGCTTCTTTGAGCCACCATGCCATGAGCTGCAATGGGTGCAGGATGATTTTGGTGAACAACAGAACCTGGACGAGGAGGGCTGCCACCCATGCTCGACGTAGAGTGTTGCATTGGGTTATTGCCAATACCGTTATTGACTGTCGGCGATGCCTGGCTGTGCGGAGTTCCATTCCGAACGATTGGTGAAGACATTTGGGCCTGGGTACCTTGATGAGGGTGGAACCGTTGCGCCTGCATACCATTTGAAACAATTCCATTGGGTTGAGATGGATGTGCATGGGGGCCTTGTGTTTGAGGAGGCATACCCTGCAAAGCCTGCGGATGCTGCTGCTGCTGTTGCTGTTGAGCTACGGCACGTCGTTGAGCTTCTTGTTGCTGTGCCTGTTGTCTTGCCAAAAGTTGACGTCTTTCTATCTCCTTTTGTCGAGCTTCAGCTAACTCCTGTTTCCTTTGAATCTCTTCCTCTACCTTAGACTTTCGCTGGGCCTCTGCTTCTGCTGCCTTCTTCAAGGCTTTCTTGTCTTCGATATCCTTTCTGATATTGGTGAGAGCATTAAATTTCTCAAAGCGGGCTTCGAATCCACCACCAGCCTGGCCAGCACCATCAGCAACATTGATACCTCCGGCGCCCCGGGCAACAGTTGCAAAACGTTGTTCGTCCAAAATGAGCATATAGCGTTGTTCATCTGCGGCAAGCGCTTCATCAGCAGCCATTTCTGCGACTGTTCTTTTACGGGACTTGGGCTGAGGAGGCTTCTCTAAGTGCATAGGGTGAGCTAATGATTCTAATAGTCGTGAACATTCTGTTGCGCTGTTTGCAGGCTCAAGAGCCAAGGGAGCTGTAGTGGCTAGGATAATCTGAGCTTCTGCTGCGTATATGTTGCCGCAATTAAACTCAGATTTAGCCATTTTCAATCTTTTCGCGGCTGGTGGCATATTTAAGCCGGGAGTTGGTGGGACAGTTCCAAGTGGTGTAGGTGGTTGCGCTAATGTAGCTGATGCACTTCCTTCGGAACGTTCTTGGCGCTTGTCCATATCTGGTGTATGAGGTGCAGTAGAATTACGAGCAATTTCGACATAGGTACTAATTGGTGTTGGAAAGAGCACGCACGTTGTCACTTTGAGTTTTGCTGGTGCAGGGACTGTTTTATTTTTCTGGGAATCGTTCGAGGTGCCCGGCGCAGGCATATTCTCCTTATCTTGCTGAGCAGATGTCCTTGATTTCGTGGGGCCATCGTTACTTTGTTCTTTTGACGATCTACTTTTTTCTAGGTCGGGTCTAGGGTACGACGCATATGGGGACGGTGTAATATAACTACTGAGAGTATGAATCGAAACGCCTTCCTTGCTTCCCTCCTTCGGTTGAGATGCGGGTTGTTGGGGGGCAACAGATTTGTGATCGAGGATCTGGACAATCATGCAACCTTCGTAGAAAGCTACTTCGTTCAGTATAAAATAATCCACCAACTCATGAGGTATGGTTTTCTGTCTGAGGTGATCCAGGAGTACTCTCATTGGAGAAGTATAAGAAAAACTGTTTTGTTGTTGATCGAATCGGAAGTGCGTCGCGTAAAGGTGGATGATCAGGGAGGGGGGGCTTTTGCGGTATTTATGAAGAATGTAGTGCTCAGTTTTTGACTAGGAGGTTTTAGTATATGTATGAGCCACTGAATGTAAGAAGAGGTTTACCATATGGTTGTGATTGCGCAACTTGTTGTATAACGAATTCCTCTGCAACACTGCCAGATCTCATACCTGCACTATTATTCTTGATTCCTCGACCAAGTGTGTGCCCCGAGCGATTTCGATTCGCAGATCGAGCTCCCGACGAGTTTCCAGCGCCATTTGTTGTAGTTGAGTTTTGGAAATTTTTGGAGCCGGATGGTAGTCTTCCAGCGGACATTGATGGGGACGGAGACGAAGTCGATGATTGGATGCCGTTTGTTTGAATAGACATAGGCCGTTTGACTTTGTTAGTCGCCTGAGCGACCGATGCCGCAGGCGCCATAGTTGATGTTGCAACCTCAGCAAGATGTACTTTTGCTAAATTATTCAACTTGTCGCAATGGTCACTGTACTCTGCGCGATATCGATGATTCGTTAATCTTTTTCATCTAATACAATCGACAGTTTTTCTCGAGCAATTTGATGTAGTCAGAGACGCGACTCTCTTCTATGTTTCCAATTATGAAGATATGAAAGGAAAATTATCGCGATTCTATGATGCAATGTGATATCGAATTTGATGATTTCCTCGAGGGGAAGTTGGGGTGAGGTGTGGAGACCAGAGCCGCTAGAGTCCCAAGCGTGTGAATAAGGTTATGTCACCTGATCAAGAGTACCCCCACCGCCTTTTCATGCCACATTCACGTTCTTTGTTCAATGAAAACTCAACAGAGCACATTCGAATCCTAATATCATGGATCGTCACTATTACCCAAATCAACATTCATCATCCTACACCAAGTTTCGAGTGCAGCGAGTTAAAAGGCAATTGGCGTCATGTTATCATACTACATACTACAATACGTTGGATGTAACTATAGTTGTCCCTTTGTAGGTTCCTGTCAGGTAATATTAAGTCGATATTTCTTTGAGCTGAAAAGTATTCTTCTACATTTCCACCATTTGTCTGGTGCTTCACATATGATGCAAGTCGGATTCTGATCTTTTGCAATTCAACAAACCCTCGCAATCGTCTAAATTTTGGATCAACTGAACGCCTGAAAGCATCACACTCCAATTTCGAGCACAATACCGTATGAGTTAAACAGATCATCTACCGCACAACTGATCTACAGCAAAGAAGAGAATTATGAAATTAACCTAAGCATGGTCCCGAGTGCACAACTTCTTTTGGAAATTGTTATTGGAGGACATATTTCGGGTTACCTTCGCGCTGAGTTCATGATCTGCGAACATCGCTTGACAGGCAGGATGGAATTATGTTTCGTTGAGAAGCTCTAGTAGTGCAGCTTACCAGAATATGTGAACATTGAGATGTATTTTTTGTGCTAAATCAAGCTCTCTCGAGTAAGTAAGGATTCGAGAATGGGTCGTCTCATATCCTTGCACTACTGCAGTTGTCAGACATGGAGAAACTTTACCACGAAGGAATCATTCATCATCATAGACGTCAGTCCAATTTAGGCATAATCTTCACTATTCGCCTCTCTTGAAGAATCCGGGGTAAGTCATGAGATCTGTTCCCTAGTAAATGTCAAGGTTGTACGACTTTATCCACGTTTCCTGTGATATTAGCCAGAATTGCCAAAGTGCGGCTTCAAGCCTCTGGTCCCTGGATGCCGAATGAGACCCATTTTAACGGACATCAAATGGTTAGTGAACTGAATAACCTTTTTGACTCTTCTACTTTTGTTTTCCTCCGAAGAAGATTTTTTCATATTAAAAGTTTAATAGTTTAATGCATAACTCAATTTAAGTTGAGCGAATTCTATAATTGTATAGTCTATTGCTTTTTGGTCATTGTAATTTATTATGCTAAGATATTATGTGATGTTCAACCACTTAAGTGAATGGAATAGATGTTAAATGGGTCAGTCAGTCTTCAAGGAATTATCCGGGGGTTCTATTTTTAATTTTAGTGTTATCTTTTTTTATATTATGATTTCTTGATCATTATTGTACTTTGTATAATTACAAATCGCCTAATTTCAGATGTTCATTAGCAAAAAAAGTGGGTAGAGCATCTTGGCTGTCAAGCAGCCACAAACAACCCTAGATATACTTCGTAAATCAGGGAGCGAGGGAGCTTATTCAAAGGTCCTTAGGCACCGAAGCTGTACCACAATAGAATCTTTGTCCTCGTGCAGATAGCTGTATATTGCGATTCTCTTAGGCTTGGTCAATCTGCTGAGCGCAGGGTCTACCTGGGCAACATCCCCTATTATTCCGCTCAATGTTTCCACGAGTGAGCGCATGTACCATGATACTTGTAATGGATTCTATATAAATATGAGCCTTGCTCGCTCTCCGTTCCCTTCATTCAACATTCAACGCACTTCTAACTCTCTTACCTTTCACTCCTATCACCATGAAGTTCACCCAGTCCTTGGTTTCTTTAGTCTTGGCAACAGTTGCTGTTGCCTCTCCTACTCCTACTCCTACTCTTGAGAAGCGAGCTACAACAATCTGTGGCCAATGGGATACCGTTGCAACTGGCACTTATACCGTCTTCCAAAATCTCTGGAATATAACCGGTTTTACTGGTTCTCAATGCTCAACTGTCACTTCAGACACGAGCAATTCTCTTGTCTGGTCCACTAGTTGGTCATGGGCAGGAGGGTCTTCCCAAGTCAAGTCTTATGCAAATGTAGGGCTTAATATGGCAGCTAAGCAGGTTTCTGCTATCTCGACCATCCCAACTACTTGGAAATGGAGGTTAGTTACTTCATATCTGTTCAATGAACCTAGCTGATCATAAACCCTTCTAGCTATACTGGCACTAACATCGTGGCTGACGTTTCCTACGATTTGTTCTCCTCAACTACTGGTACTGGCAGCGCGAACTATGAGATCATGATCTGGCTTAGTGCTCTTGTGAGTTTTCCATTACCATTTCATTTTCTCTTACTTTGATTTGGTTGCGGAAACTAACGACTTTTAGGGTGGTGCAGGACCAATTTCAGCTACCGGGTCACCCGTTGCAACCCCAACAATCGCTGGAGTGTCATGGAAACTCTACTCTGGACTCAACGGTGCAACCAGAGTCTATTCCTTCGTCGCTTCCAGCACAGTCAATAGCTTCTCTGGTGACTTGAAGACATTCCTTACATACTTGACCTCCAGCCAAGGATACCCAGCCAGCCAATATCTCACGACGATTCAAGCTGGTACCGAACCATTCACTGGTAAGTTCACCCCCTAACTCATCTGATTCGGGGACAAACTAACGTAAAATAGGAAGCAATGCTGTCTTCAAGACGACTGCCTACTCGGTATCGCTTAAATAAATCCTTGGATGAGGATATAAGACATGCGAATATTTCCAGAAAACAGAATAGTGCCTTAAAGGAATTGCATCTAAATGGATGCGAAGGAACTTTGTACATAATTTCCCCTTCAACGAATGTTTTTAGATCTTTTGGACACTGTATACATATAAAATATTCTATGCACTGACTACATCATAACGTAACTTAAAGATTCTTTTTCTCACTCTCCGACAGGTGAAACGTTTCAAAATGCTCAACGAGACATTAGGATATAAATATTGATAAGAGCTGTCACTTGTAGCTAGTTCATGGGCTGGTGAATCCATTAGCTATGGATAGATATAAACTTATGTCAAAACAACGGGTATGATAATTATAACTCATTCTTTTTTTGGTAACAACATGATGGCAAATAATTTGTCTTTAAACATAACACAACTTACGCGGTAGATTTCAGAGATTCGATGTTCATGAACACTTTGAAACATGGGCTTCTGAAAATCATAGTTGGATATGGACGTTGACCAGATTCGATGCCGTTCTTTGAATTAGACAATGGTTCGGAAGTTCGATTGCTCGTTGATAGAGTAAATGCCATTGCATCTGGCACTGGGCAATGATTGTATAGGGTTTTAGGACGCCATACAACTTGTACATCTTGAAGCATCAGTTCATGCCAAAATATTGAACGAATAATATTGGCAAAGATATCGAACCCGTTCTAGATTCTAGATGGCATGATATCGCAATTTGTGTCTCAGATACGACAGGATTTGATCTGATCGTTCAAACCAACCTTTAAAGTTTATATATTAAGATTGAGGTTAATGCAACATCGAGTTCTTCTTATCAAAATTTAATTAATTAAGCTTCATTTTTTATCGAACTCTATATTATTGTTTCCGGCTCGGGTGATTCGGATAACCTTGACATAGCAAAGTCCATACGAGAGACGGGATCGGGATTCGGGAAGCCGAGAGAGAAAAGTCCGATATTCAGACACTAGTCTATTTTTAGTAAAGTCTCCCCTCGCGTAATTCTGTCGCCCGCACTTTGGATAATTTTCATTTTCAACATCTCTTTTTTGAAACTTCGAACCACGACAATTTCCATTCCGCCCAAAGAACTTCATCGACAAACCCTTCGAACATATTACCAAATACCGCAAAAATGGGTGGTGTCACTGTTCGCGATGTTGACGTAAGTATACACAATTCTGCAAGCTGTGAAATTGGAGAGGAATGAACTTGAGAACTCGATTTGCGACAGCGAATTGAAATTCCAATCATTTACATCAACCCATTTGATCAATCTTGAAAACTTCGCAAACTACCTTCTCTCGTCGATAAATGAGCAGGTGTGAGGGGGTCGAAAGATCTCCGCTGACGGAATTATGCTGATTCGACGGGTTAATTCAGGCTCAAAAGTTCATTGATGCATATGCTGCTTTCTTGAAGAGACAAGGAAAGCTCCCAATTCCAGGTACGTACTAATTTATGCATCTCCATCCTTGGTTTCCACATTTGCGCAGACATGCGCTCGATATTTACAAATTGCTAACGAAGATACTTTCTTCTGCAGGTTGGGTTGATACCGTCAAGACCAGCGCATCCAACGAGCTCCCACCTCAATCTATTGACTGGTACTACGTTCGTGCTGCTGCCAACGCCCGTCACATCTACCTCCGCAAAACCGTCGGTGTTGGCCGTCTCACCAAGGTCCACGGTTCAACCAAGAACCGTGGTTCCAGACCATCCCACCACGTTAACGCCTCCGGATCTGTCGACCGTCACGTTTTGCAATCCCTCGAGAAGATCGGTGTTTTGGAGCAAGATGAGGAGAAGGGAGGTCGTCGTATCACTCAATCCGGACAACGTGATTTGGACCGTATCGCACAAACCACCGTTGAGGCCGATGAGGAAGAAGATGACGAGTAAATTATTTACATCATGGTCTGGGAATGGGAAATCTTTACGGGGTTTGGGCTATATGGTGTATCACATATAAATAAAAGCTCGTCCTAAAGCACTTTGCTTTTCATTATACCCCATTTGTTATTACGGTTAACGTGGACGTGAAAGAAGTATCATTTTGAATCTCATCAATCCAAGCTTTGAACCTGTGCCTTTCCTTAACTTTCGCTCCATTGGTATTGAAAATGCCTACAAAGTTTTGTAAATTCATCAGTCTTTGACTTGTTGAAAGCGATTTTCCGCAGTTGGCATCGGGTAGTCTCATGTCACATCAATAGGTACTTTGATTGTATTGTATGCCCTGTACTTCCCAGCTCATATCCCGTAGTTCGTATCCCCATCTCTGTGCGACTCTTAATGGATTTCTTTAATGGAGAGAAATCCATAAATATGACAATGTTCAAACTCTTGACCGATAGACTCGATAGACTCGATATTTGTGACGTTTCAATATCATAGGATCTCAAACATTCTAATAACTTGCAGGTCGAAACTTTAAAACGATTTAAGACAATCACTTGATAGAATATCAAAGCACTGATGGATTTATCTGAATCGACGGACTTAATAATGAGGATATCATGTCGACTTCAAATATATAATTCTCGGTTTGAGATGTTAAACAGTTAGGTTCAAAATGCATAAGGATTGCCCCGCAATTGATTCTGGAGAATGTTTGAATCAAGTACGGGTTTTGGTTGCAATATGAAGAGCTCACCTGGGCAATACATGAGTTAACATTGTGAGTGCCATGACATGGCTCTCGAGATTCCTTTGGAGCAATGAATCTATACAGAGTACCTACAAGCAGATGGGGAGTTTTGTGCTCTTTAAATATTCTAGTTTGCATTTATGACGTACCTTGTTTTAGAACCTAACTTTTCATTCTTTCTCTCTTGCTTTTCCTCCTCTTTTATATCTTTCTCCCTTTATCTTCTCTCAATCAATGAAAAATGAAGCCGTAACTCTCCATTTTTTACTCAGCATTAGAACAGCAAATCATACTTTACTCTCGGATAGTGATATCAATGAAATAGGTTGCTACATATAAACCTAATATTGAAGAAATAAAAACTTACAGCAAAACCTCGGTATGATGATTTTCTCAGACTCTAAAACATTAAGTTAGAGCCATGCATCCCTTTTGAACGCGATTAGATGCTAACATTCAAATTCAATGCTACTGTCTGAGTTGCTATCGAATCAATTCCCATATTCCTAGGAATCAATTAAAGCCTTTCTTGCTATCCCTGGGAATGAAACCACATTCTCGATGCATCATTACTTGTACACATCACATGTCAGACGCGTGCCAATCCATGTCAAACGCTACACCTGAAATCCAAATGATGATCTTAGATTCTCGTCATTCCTGCCATTTTTGGAAGGTCTTGATATCACAATGCACTTGCTAGGCTCTCGCATTGATTAATGTAGCACTGCATCAAGGATACGAACGTGGTTGTTGAGAACCCCGCGTTGAAAACAAGTATTTGAGCTTTATAACAGTGGCATGTCTTCACCCGTTTACCAACAGTTTTATGAACGCCTACCTTATCATTTGTCGTTGTTCTTCAATATGAAACCTAAGAAATACTTGGAAGCTTCTATTGCCCTCTTACTGTCATCTCCTGCAATAGCTCAATGGAGCACCATCAATACAACATTAACTTCGAGTACATTTGACCTGCTCCAGTATGTCAACCAACTCATCGGCACTGACAATGGTGGAAATGTTTTTGCCGGTGCTACTCTTCCATATGGAATGGCTAAAGCGGTTGCCGATGTTAATGGTCAAAACACCGCTGGATTCTCAACGGATGGCAGCAATGTGACTGGATTCTCACATATGCACGATTCTGGCACAGGAGGAAATCCTTCCCTGGGCAACTTCCCCTTATTTCCATCGTACTGTCCCGATAACGGGGTTGACAATTGCAAATTCTTAATCACAGATCGAGCTACGCCATATGTGTTGAATTCTGTGGTGGCCACGCCGGGATATTTTGGATTAAATCTAACAAATGGCATTCATGCAGAGATGACTGTTTCAGAGCATGCTGCTCTTTATCACTTCAATTTTCCTGTAGAGAAGTCTTCGAATGGGACGGCTTTAAGCCCGCTCATTCTTATGGATCTGACGGATTTGAGTGCCAGTAGACAGAACGCAACCATTAGCGTGGCTGACGATGGGCGTATCAAAGCGAACGGGACTTTCATTCCAAGTTTCGGTGGTGGTTCATACATGTCATACGTTTGCGTTGATTTTTCCGGGGCAAATATCCTGGACACTGGAATATGGGTCAACAATAGAGCAGGAACACAACCAAAGGAATTATTCGTCACGAGAGGCATAAATCTTTTCTACATTCAAGCTGGAGGGTTTGTTCGCTTTCAAGCATCAACTGATAGAACTATTAGCGCTAGAGTGGGCGTTAGTCTCATTAGCTCGGACAAAGCTTGTCAGAATGCAGAAAATGAAATTCCTGATTGGGACTTTGCTAGGCTCAAGAAGACGGCTGAGAAGGTATGGAGGAAGAAACTGAGTGTTGTGACCATAGAGCCTGGCAACGGTAGTGATACTTCACTATTAACCAACTTCTATAGTGCAATTTATAGGACTATGATGTCCCCGCAAAATTATACGGGGGAGAATCCCTTATGGGAAAGTAGCGAACCATACTTTGATTCTTTCTACTGGTAAAGACTTTAGGTTATTTGGGTTGAGTAAGAAGTACTAATGTTTTCACAGTATATGGGATGCATTCAGATCTCAGCTCCCATTTCTCACTATCATCGATCCATCTGCTCTATCAGAAATGATCCATAGTCTCCTCGATACCTTCCAGAACGTTGGGTGGCTTCCAGATTGTCGTATGAGTCTCTGTAAAGGGTTTACTCAAGGTGGTTCAAATGCCGACAATGTTATCTCCGATGCATACGTAAAGAATCTCACAGGCATAGATTGGGAACTAGCTTACGAAGCTGTGGTAAACGATGCAGAAAACGAGCCACTAGAGTGGTCCAACGAAGGCCGTGGTGGTCTCATGTCATGGAAAGCTCTAAGCTACATACCCTACCTGGATTATGATTACTTAGGTTTCGGCACGAACTCGAGAAGTATTTCTAGGACGTTAGAGTATTCGTATAACGATTTCTGTATCTCTACCCTTGGGAGAGGTTTAGGGAAACCCGAATATACTAAATATTTGCATCGCGCGACAAATTGGCAAAATCTGTGGAAAGAAGATCAAACTTCGTCTATTAACGGTATAGACACAGGATTTACAGGATTCTTTCAGCCGAAATATTTGAACGGGACGTGGGGGTACCAGGATCCGATACTTTGTAGTCCTTTGGATTCCTTCTGCAGTTTAACAAGTAATCCACAGGAGACTTTTGAAGATAGTATTTGGGAGTATCAATTGTGTGCATTTTCTCTCTTGGTGTCGTATTCTTTACTGACAATTGACTAGTTTTGTACCGCATGATATCGCGACTCTGATTGATCTGATTGGTGGACCAGAGAACTTCATCGCTCGTCTCGATTATTTGCATACAAGCGGTCTAACGGACATCGGAAATGAACCTTCGTTCTTGACAGTGTTTCTTTACCACGTTCGTCTCCCCCTTCTATCAGTTACATGCGCCGCTAACCCCTTGCTAGTACGCCGGTCGTCCTGCTCTCTCAGCATCCCGTGCCCATATGTACATACCCGCCTATTTTAATACGTCAACCACTGGATTACCTGGTAACGATGATACCGGCGCCATGGCTTCCTTTGCCGCATTTTCAATGATGGGATTGTTTCCCAATCCAGGACAGAATGTCTATCTAATCATCCCGCCCTTTTTCGAATCTCTGAGTTTCACAAATGAAAATGGAAAGAAGAGTACGATCAAGAACATTGGATGGGATGGAGGTGTGAGGAATGTTTTTGTACAGAGTGCGAAAGTGGACGGAGTGGTTTGGAATAAGAGTTGGATGTGAGTTGTGCCCCAATCGTGTGGGACTTGGAAAGTAATGCTGATTTGACGTAACACAGTGGACATGAATTCTTCACGGAGGGACAGACGTTGGAATTGTTTCTAGGCGATACGGAAAGTGATTGGGGGACTAAAGAGGAGGATTTGCCTCCTAGTATGAAAGTTGGTCATATGAAGCTCTGATCGAAGGACTTGGCGCAGATTTAAATCGTGTCGATATTTTAACTTTTTAACCTGTTCAAAGTCTACTTGATATCTTAAGAGAATTCATGATCTCAAGTTTCAAAGCAACTAGAGATAATAAACTCTCTGATCGTCTAGGACAGTCCTGAGATCTACACAAACAATTCCCGTCTATGAATGGTCGCCCCGATAGTTTCTTGGTTAATTCTGTTCCATTAGTTTGATCTTCGAAAATGCTTTATTAAAAACATCAAACGTAGACTATGATGTTTGGAGCCCTTTCATGTAAGCTTGAATGATTAGTAAGGTACATACCTAGTACATATAAGCCATATGTGCGGTAAAGGTTGTATTCATTCCTTCTGATCTCTTCGTTTGAAGTAGGAATGCTGAATTACTGTAACGAAGTCTCACGTGGCTAACAAGTTCTCAATACTAGGAGCATTTTTGAGAGCCGGACAAGAGCCGAACAAGAGCCGGATACAGACGTGCAACAAAACTTTTCGGTTGTCATCTTACTGTACTAAAGGATATGCCACACACGTGATTTGTATATGGGACCTACCTCGGGAGCTCAAGATGCATTTGGCCAGCTGTCGACTATCTTCTCCAACGGCTCAACAACACTTGCATACACAGCTTGTGTAAAACTTAGATTATCCCAATCAGCCTTTCCATCAAAGATAAAAAACCTGCAATATTTGATAACATGTCCCGATGCTGGTTCTTCCTCATATACCGCGTCGGCCCATTCTAGAGCGGTGAGATGGTTTGTGCTTGCATGCTCTTTTCCATCGACGAGGAAATCTTGCCGGATCGATTGCTCCTCGATGCGTTGCCCGAAACATAGCTCGAGTAGTACGATGTCGAGATCGTTGAGTGATTTTTTGATGGTGGCGGTGGAACTTTTAAGGTTTGGGATTTGTCCTGGTGGTGTGTACTGGTATTTTGTGGAGAGGAAGGAGTGGGAGAAATGTGGCTGATCGATTAGAACTTTGTGCTTATTCCAATCGCATGGAAAGAGGATATGGCGCTTTTGCAGATTGCCAGTAAGCCAAGGAGCATTCTGAAGCTGTAATAATGGAGAAGCTAGTATGTATGCAACTTTATATCGTTCATAGCGGTTGAGGGGAGAGAATTTATCGGGCTTGGAAAGAATAGTTTCAAGGCTAACGAATTTATCTCGATAGAAGGCCCGGGATGTAACATTATCATCACTATCTCGAAATTCATGGCGCTCTAAATGATCAGCCGGTAGGTATCCTAAGTAAGAATTATAGGTGATATCAAAATTGTAGACAGTTTCGCATAGGTTATGTATCTCAATTTCATTCAGCACGGTGGAAGATGCCTGGATGGATGACGACGGTGAGTCTGAGGAACCAGATTTCTTTACTTGGGACGCTCGTGTGTTAGAAGTAGAGTTAGGCTTCGACTCAATATTTCGATGCAGCTTTTGGCGAACATTTTCTGCTACTGAAAGTTGCTGAGGGCTGGCAGGTAGAATACTATCGAGTATGCTGCGGGCTTTTCTGGTGGTTTAACTTTTCGACACTTAGAAAATGTGCGAGAAAGTTGTTCATCGGATGGGCAGAGAGCTGTCTTTGATATTTCTGGATATTCGAATGATGGATTGAATATTATGGAGGAGTCCGCACTTGTACGGCTCTGTAGCTGAATCGAAACCTCATGAGCTGATATACATTCACAACTCCACCCGTCTTTGATGGCCTTGTGCAAACTTTGAGTGTGTTTTTTGATGTGCGAGAAAAAAATTGCCTCTGCTAAATCGTCTTTTCTCGATCCTATAGTCTCCAACTTATCCAACGAGGTTAGCTTTCGATTGCATTCCTCTAGCGCGACGGAAGCCTTTGGGCCTCTTTTTGAAAAGCTATGCTGGACCCGTTTAACCTGGTATTCAAACCCGCTTAGTCTTTCTTCTTGCCAGTCAATCTATAGCCATTGTTAGCGTAAGCCCCAAAAAGTTTTCCAATAATACAGATTGAAGTACAAAAACGAAGAGCATTCATGTACTGTGAGTCATAAGCAGGGTGTAAGGAAAGTACATCATCTTACCCTTCCATCTTTGGACGCTAACAGGTTATTCACCTCTATCAAGAGTAAATCTACTGTCTTGATCAAGCTTTTGAAGCCTTCGTAAGACTCCAGGCTTACCAAGACGCAAATGGAAGATCGCAATGAGCTCTTCGCGGTGCCAACCCTCGTAACTTCTGTCCTCAAGAAAAAGGTGGACCTCATCCCTAGGGACGTCCACGGAGAGTAGAAACCGGCGAAGTAGTTCGTTGAACAATTGCTCTTCAACATCGATAGCATCAATGAATTGCAGGAAACATATACGGAATTGCCTCCATATTGTCACACGCTTGAAAGTTTCATCAAAAGACTCCACAGCTATGATTAGAATAGGGAACCCGCCTAGAACAATTCCCGCAATCTCAAATCCAGACATGTCGATGTTCTTGTTGGATAGTTTCTCGAAATGTGCAAAATCTTCTAGACAACAAAGTTCTGAGACAAGAAAGAGGTCTTAAATTTTCGATAATCAAAGAAATGAGATCAAACAATTGGATTTCTTGAAGCTGTGACAGGATAGCTTTAGGGTATTGAATAAATACATTCACATAATGTTTAATTATTAGCTCCTAGTAGTTCTATTGTTCGTAATAGAGAAGAAAATGAAGGAATGTAAGGTTTAAAGAAGAAAGTGTTCTGGTTTATATCTCAATTTCAAATCTGAGCAATTAGGACAAACTCGTTCAGTCTGAGCTTAGTTTGATTCAAACAAATTCAGGCAAATTCAAACATATTCAAACATATTGAAACAAATAACCAACATGTTTTATTGATGTTCCAAGATTGTTATAGATATTATCATTATCACAAAGATAGCCTAACTATTCCAAAGCAAACTTCCCCTCTTATAAAACAATTCCTGAATATATAATTGAGTGAATTGTTAGAATAGGAATTGTTATACCAGAAATATAGATTAAAAATGGCTTAGCGTGTTTCGAGGTCACAAGTTTATACAATAGGTATGTTGTACTTAAAGCCTTTTGAAATCCCCAACAATACAACTTTCTCACATTCTGGAATCATATCACAACATTTCATCATAAAGACTTTAACAGGAAAAAGAAAAACCATGTCATCGCAGAGAACTGATGAGAAGAGTGTAATGCAAGCTCCGTTGCTTGACAAAAATGAAGAAATCTGTTTTCGTTGTATGGATTGCAAGACACGTTATGAATGCGTCATCCAAGCACTTCTAGATCTTAACCTTTCCGACGCCAATAGTCAAGGATATGACCGCGACTCATACCTACTCCTTATTCAGGGTACATTCACACGGTTTGAGGCATGGGCTTCCAGTATTTCGACCTTTCAAGATGTTGTGTTGAGGAAGAAACTCGAGTTTAGCCTCAACGATGGTGCAGATATAAAACAGATGGTTATGAGAACCCTGGGAAATCTCCAAACGTCGCTCTATGAAGGTACGTAAGCCTGTTGCTAATATGAATCTGGCTAATGACCTCCAGCCTGGTTGATCATCGCCCAAAAGAAAGTGAATGAGTCATGGACCATACAAGAATATAGCGACTCTGACGATGAAGGAACCACCATAGAGGCTGAAAAAACCTCGGAACTACAAGAACTGTCAAAAGCAATGGAAAATTCAAACAAAATATTGTTCAAGGTTTCTAACCTTGTTCAAATAATCTCGAGTACAGACGACTATCTCAAGGCAGCGACCCTATATCAATCCGAGTTCGATCCCAATGTTGATATTTGTCTCGTAAAAGAACAATACGGATCTGCCAGTGGCGTTGATGATTGGTTAATTACCCGTCTTGGAAAGTCATTGACAAGACGACGTCGATATCTCAAATATATTGAAAATTACCCTAAGGAATCAATAAGGAATTGCGACAATATTGCAGTCGCCGAAGAAGAACCTGTTACAGCTGCTCTAACAAAGGACTCAATTTCGATTGACAAATCTACACTGACACGAAAGGATGAATCAGAGTCAGGTGACTCACAGGGATCGCAAAGTTCTGATGAGGCCACATCTGTTGGAGAATGTGCGGACAAGCTGAATGTTCCATCACATCCATTCATGGAATTTGAGAATTTTCCCATCCAGTTTAGTGTTCCATTCCAATGCCCATATTGTCGCACGGAGCAGGTACCTAAGGATCGTGCTGCATGGAAGTATATACGCCCATCTCCCACTGTTATTTGATGCCATGATTGCTTACATGAACATAGGGAACATGTATTCAGAGATCTTAGACCCTACATCTGTAAGTTCAAAGAATGCGAATTGAAGATGTTCTGTAGTTTAGATGGATGGTTTTCGCATGAGCTCTGCAACCACCGTAGAGAGTGGGTGTGCGAAATGTGTCAGCATACTCCATTCTCATCTTCACCAGCCTACGAAGATCATTTAAGATCAGAGCATCAGATCAATGACAAGGGATCGCAACTCAGAGCGTTGGTGTTACAAGGTGAGGAACCAGTGGATGATGTTTCCGCTACGGCGTGTCCGTTCTGCGACAACTGGGAAAAGAACATCGCCGAAGCAACAAAGGACAAGTACATGAGACTCATGACATTCAAAGAACATCTAGGAAAGCATATGGAGCAGTTGGCATTACTCTCCTTGCCCATAAAAGAGGGGAAAATGTAATACGGTGGCTCAAGTGAAGGGGAGCCTCATGAATACGCATGAAGCTTACTGTAAGCCCTGACCGATCTTCCATCGATGGCCTTACCTACGCCAAATCCTACGATTCTCGTAGACAGTAAGATATCCGCGATCACCATGCACCGAAAGTTCTGCTGGACTGTTGAAATGCCAGGATTGCATGATTCTCAGAAATAGGACAGTCTCAGTTAAATATCAATACATAAAATTGCATATTACTTCAATTTTCTGGAAAAGTATACTTCTACTATAGTGCATACATAATGCTAGCTGTCCTTCATCCCAGAACTACTGCAAACTAGATGTTGAGAAATCTATCGAAGCTTAAGTTTTAGCATTGATACAGTAGCAAGTGTGAAATAAATCTTCAGCCCGGGTAATCCAGCAAATGACATCATGATGATATTCGTGCAGGAAGAAATGGAAAACAACTTAAAAGACTAGGATGCAAAAGCCGAAGCAGGCAACAAAACAGGCTGACAGTGGTCATTGGAAATCGCTTCACAAGAAATAATACTTGCCTGTGCGCTTTGCGACTACAAAGCTGACGTTCATGAGATTCTTTTATAGTGACCAGTGGACCGAGTCAAAGATATTGCGAAAGAGTGATTTTAAAGTAAATACTGACGGTCCGCACCAAGCCTCGGCCATATAGAGATTGCGGAAGACCTCGAGCCGACCATGCATGAGTGATTACTTGAGAACGATTCTGCTGAGAGCTTGTCCCCAGCACGGAAGAGATAGGAGCTTCCATGAGAATGATCAAAGTCGAACTTTACGATACTATACTCAGTGGCCCTGATCAGGATCTTTAATATTACAGAACGCACGAAAATACAGAATCGCAGCAAACAGAGTACCGTCAGCTTTGATACTCGAGTCATAACTGAAGAGAACTCATATTTGATATGAGCCCAATATGTCGATAGAGTAGCTATCGGGTCGGAAACATTATATTTGATTATCCGTGTAATCCCAAAACTCGCGACTGAAATGAATTATTGGATGTGAAAGGGTATCAACTACCGAATTCGATATAGTATCGTTTAGAGTGAAATGAGAACATTCTTCCATTGCATTTCTGCCACCAGAGGAAAATTGTGGCTGTTTATCTCGGTATTGGGAATATTTTTCACCTTCAGAGTCCCTCACTTCAATCCCTTTTCTCGTGTTTCCCATCTCGAGACTCCCAAATCAAACTTCCAGCAAGCACACCTGCACATAACCCTTCAAACACCGCGACTTTTCTCCACGGTCCAGCGTCAACCCAAAAGATTCCAACAGCAATCGTCCGTCCAACAACTGACAACCACATGGCAAGCTTGTCTCCTCTCTTAGCAGCGACAAGGTAGAGCGAGCTATTATGTATAGCTATGATCAGCGTAGCTCTAGAATTTCGAGATTCAAAATTAACTAAGAGGGCTTCGATTTCCTTACCCTATTGACATACATGACAGAGCTAAAACATGAATAGCGTGTTTCGAGTCCGTCAGCAGCATTTCGGCATTTTTCCTTGCGGCTGTAGAAGATAAAAGAGGGGCAGCTCCGTTCAGGAAATTGAAACAGCCCTGAACCGCAAAGATTATTGATGATAGAGGAGGCATTTCTGAAACTTTGATTTCTACAAATAAATCATTCGGGCAACATTGCGATTTATATATTCCTGGAGTGTGGCACAATGGTTTCCAAAGCGATAACTCGTGATCTTTCAGTGCAAATGATATAATACCCGTGGCGGGGAACACGCCGAGAATGACTGCGGGGTTTGGATCTCAAGCCAGAGATTGAAGATATGGTACGATGAATTGAATTTTATAGCCTATCGGGAGGCATGGTGGCTTATTGTTTTCCGTGGGTCGAATCCTTCCGTATTTTTGGCTGGTTAACTTCCTGAATCTAATAGATTCGAATCTGCCCGTACCATACCATTCTCACCTTGGAATTGCTGTGAAGAACCCTCGAACTCCGGAACTTTCCAATCTACCCAGTTCGTCTATTAAATCGTGTTTTTTGGCATAATGAATCCCAGATGAGATGTCATTAATTCAGCCATGTTGTTCCCCACATTTCCATTGTGACGATAAAGCTAGGCTGGAGGTGGCTTAGAGCCTAATAATCTCGGTTAGATAACCCCTGAAAGTGGGTTTACCTAAGGAAGCAAAAGTCGATAAATTCTTCATTCTCTATTGGATGATTCTTATCGTTTTATTTGGTAGATTTCATCAATTTGGCATGTCCAACTGTTGGCCTGCCCCCTTTATTACCCGTCAGCAGTGACGAGTGGAGGAAGATTTGGTTTTCAACAAAGCCAAGCCTGGTAGTTCTTGTGAATGCCGAACAATTGATACAACCTTCGTACAAAAAGAAGGCGACGTGATTACGATATACACCAGAAGAAGTTCGGAGTTGTTACCATCTGCAATTCTTTCCCGTTCGAAAATCACTTTCTGTACTCTCCTGTGTTTACTTCCCAAACCTCTCGCTCAAGTGTATGATTGGTTTTCAAGGAAATGTCTCCGAACCCTTCCACGGAAAATGAAATTATAGTGGCCAATGTGAGCGACTTAGCGATGCGCGAGGAAACCCAGCAAGTGGAAGATACGGGAATGTATGCCAAGTTTTCAAGTGTTGTCTTGATCTCAATTGTATTGTGCTTAGCAACTTTTTGCCAGAATCTATCCGTCGTCGGCGCTTTAAACACGAAACTCACACAAAAATTCGCGTAAAATTTTCACTCCAAATCTTTAAAATAAGAATATAATTTTCAATATGAATTATCTTAATAATCTATCAATACTTCAGAATATAGCTATAATGAAGACTTTTTCTGAAGCCTTTATTATATCAAATATTTATCCTATTATTGTTCTAGGTACGGGTACGGCTTTGCAATCTACCACGGCAAGCAATAGATTGATAGTGGCTACAACTGTATACACAAACAGTCGCATGTTTTTGATACTGAGGCGATTAGCGCATAACAAGGACTAAAACACCTTCTAAGTATTATTGATTATTTTTATCAGGAATAAATATAGTTATACATTGATAGCACCTCAGTAATCTAGGGAATACAAGGAAGCGCCACTACCTCTTTTCAATAAATATACCACAAATACTATCAAGCAATACAACACTACAATATTATAATCAAGTGGTCCCCTGGATATATTGAGATTAAGAACAACGAAGCAGCCGATCGCTTCGCTAATCAGGATATAGCTGGGCCGCTTGACCCTAACCCATCCTACCTCCCCATAATCAGTAGCTCCCACTCTATCCTACATACCAAATATCAGCATTCCGAAAACAAATAATAAAAGAAAAAAAGAGATCTAATCTTCAAAACATACAATACATGAAAACCAATATATAATATTTCAAAACCGGAAAGCCTCAAGCTTCCTCACAAAGTACTATACAAATTCATAACAATATAAACCGAATACAATAACTTTACAGCTTATCACATCAAATTCAATTATAAAAATAGTACGAATACTTATATATATAGGATTGAGAAAAGCCTATTATACTTCTTTTAATATTCAATCAATAATCAAACGCACAGCGATTAACCGCTTACACCAAATCGATTTTGATTCGAATAAGATGTGATAGTATATATCAACTGTATCCTACAAATACAATATAGCTTTACTAACCTTCTCACTAGATCCAGATTCTATACTAAGATATATTCAAATTATACGAAACTACACGAATTCCAATCTACTCCAATACCCTGAGAATAAGCTTTCCACCCCAATCAACCTAAGATTTGTATTAATTAGCTATAAGTACTCCGAGCGCTCTCCCAATCGATAGCAATCGACCTGATCATCTGCCAATACCCGGATAATATACAAAACAAGGTTTTCTAAAATAGGACTACAAACCCTTAGACAGAATAGCCGCAAAATCACTATAAACAATACTAAGCAGGGGAACATCAAAGACAATAAGCCTCTAATTAGGTAACATTATACTATTATAAGCGGCTGGAACACTAGTGGCCTGTAGGCCCGCTCCTTAGTATATTTAGAATACCCCTTGAGAGGTTAGATATTAAACGTTAATCACTATAAATAAATAAATAAATTGTTCTAGGTACCTTAATATTTTCAAGCTTTTCTTTATCTTCTGAAAACCCCTAATTCGAAATCTTTAGCCCTATTCTATTAATCAATTAACTAACTGTTTTTGAAAGAAGAATTAAAGAATTTAATTTATTTAGTAATTCTTTTATTATTCAAGATATAATTAATATTATTTATATATTCAATTAGAATAAGAAATATAGTTTTATAATATCCTTTAATAATTAGAATAAACAATCCAGAATACAAAATAAATCAATTATATTAAAGAAAGCAATCCTAAAAACAAAAAACCTTATATTATTAATATCCACTCTCATTCAATTATATAATAAACAATCTAAGCTTCTAGACTTTCTTGAAATCTTTAGAGAATATATCAAAAAGGGAAAGCTTATTATAATCTCCAATATTATTATATTTCAAATTATTTATTTCGAATCAGTTATATAGAAGATCGAATTATAAACTAAAATATTAGCCAAAAATCCAATCCCAATTATTACAATATTAATTAAATCTAATTATGTAATTATAACAAAAAAAGGAGAATGGAATTTAATTAATAAAAGAAAAGCTATTAAGTTTACTTCAATAAATAAGAAGATTGAAATTACTCAAAAACGCTTTATTCTAATCAAATTAGAAATTATAAATATTATCTCCTTTTCGCCTATATTAATATGAAACCAAATAAACAAAGTATTTCAGAAAATTGAAATTAAAGGCTCAGTTATAATAGCAGTAATTTTATTATTAAATATTAGAAGATTGGGTGGAAGAGGCCTCTATATTGACTATATAGTTACGCGTATAAGCATATTGATCTCTCCGTAGTATTATATGAGGGGATCAATATGCCTGTCTATGGTTCGTCTAATCTAGCCCGTTTAGGTAGCCGTATTACTAATCACTACACGTGCTTAGCACCGGTAACTTCTATTCCTTTTAACACTCCCCCATAGGAGTTACCACCTTTGATCTCCCTGATCTTCTATATCTCTACTGTCTCAATCCCAGTATGTTTTTGAACCTTTCGAATGCTATTCTCGCTAAGGGTTTAGTTATCCTATCTACTACTATATCCGATGTATTGATATAATTAATTATCATCTTTTCTTTTTCAGTAAGATTTTTGATGAAGTGGTAGTATATATCGATATACTTTGATTGTTTATATAAATACGGGTTTTTGATTAAAGCAATTGCTTTTTGGTTATTGTTTAATAGTTGAATAGTATCTCCGTATACAGATATATATTCAGTCTTTCCAAGATCTTTGAATATTTGAGCTAATCATTTTCTTTGCTTAGTGAACATCGCCATTGATATGTATTCGGATTCAGTATTTGATGTTGTTACTGAATTCTGTTTCTTATTAACCCACGATATTAATCTGTTATAGAATATAGTAATTCTTTTAGAAATATTTTTCTGATTATATTGATTACTTACCCAATCTGTGTCAGTAAAGACTTTTATAGTATCTACTGATAGGTTATATTCCTTTACGATTTAATATTGTACTCCCTCGGGCCTGTATTTGAGTTTCTGAGTAATCGTAGCTTTCAGATATTGCATTAAGTTCTTTACTTTTATTCCATGGCATTTCGCTGGCTTTGCTATATACTGTGACAATCGGTCTAATATGAAGGAGATATCTGGTCTTGTATATACCATTAGATAAATGAGATTACCTATAGCTTGTTGGTATTCAGTAATATCAATCAGTTCGTTATTTTCTATAGCAGGTTATAAATATAAGTAATTAATAGCAGGTATCTTCTTAATATAATACTGAGCATATGAGATTCCGAATTTTATAAGTATAGTTTTCAGATATTCTTCTTGATTTAATATAAGAAATCTATTTGTTCGATCTTTTATAACCCTAATATCTAGAATCTTACTAATCTCCTCTAGGTTCTTGGTATTGAAATATAATGAGAGTATTATAGAAAATCAATTAAATTGATCTTTTGAGGTTAAGAAAGCAATTATATTATTGATATACACTAATAGATTGAATTGGCAAGTAGTATATATATAGAGATATGGATTAGCAAGACTTTAGATAAAGCCTTAATTGATTAATTGAGATTTTAAAAGTTGATTTCAATTTCATTCAATTTGTTTAAAGCTATATAAGCTTCTTAATGCGTGTAAAATGCATCTATTTAATACTTTAAGTCCCTGAGGTAGTACAAAGTATATCTCTTTCTTAAAATGGGATTCTATAAAAGCATTTTTTATATCGAAATGTTAGTATTCTAAGTTTTCTTTTGTAATAATTATTAAGAACAAGTAAAGCATATCGAGTCATATTATAGAAACAAAGGTTTTATTATAGTCTTTTTTAAGAATTTGATTAAAACCTTTTATTATTAATTATACCTTGAATCTCTTAATCTTATTATCCTTTGTTTTTATTATGAATATTTATTTTATTGAAATAAGGTTTCTTTCTTTTGATAGAATATATTTTTTTTTAAATATTATTTATA